AACATCACTTTATTCCAACCATTCCTATGGCTTCCTTAAAAACTCTAACACATTTTGAAGCCCTTCTACGACTAAAACAATAAATCAACAAGGGTTAAAACATTTGGTAGCTCCACATCACAATATCCAATAAAACTTGATGAGTCAAAATAAAAGTTAAAAGTAAATTTTTATATAATATCCAAATAATATGTTAAATGATGACATATTAACTTTTTATTGAACTATGAAATAACAAATTTACATACATATGAAATAAAAAATTATGTAAGTTGGAAAGTGTTACGTGATCAATTATGTTTCACATAATTGAAATACAAATATTATAGTAACAAAACAATATTAAATATATGAATTGCATAAAGAATTATATAACATCAAGTTCAAGTCTAATTTTTTTCTTTCTTAGTTGCCTATTCATTTACGCTTACTTTTTAAAGAAAGCAGAAATAATTGGCAACAATTTAAAAATTATATATATTATCATTACTAAGGGAATTTTTTATTTGAGTCACTTTCATAACAAATTGGTCTCTTCCCAGCCTCATCATGTAGGGTTCAATACCTCTAAATTTACTTCTTTTTCATTTGTATTAGTCATCTTCATCTTTCATAAATATTTCTCATCAGCATAAAGATAATACTCCAAAATTTTAAGAGGAGATGGTGGTGGTGTGAGACTTTATAGTGATCTCCTATGGTGTCTATGATGGTGGTGACTATGGTGAAGGTGATAGGCTAGAGGTCGAGGTAATTGAGAGGATGTTTTTGCGGCTTTGGGGTGCAAGACATGATTTTTTTGGGGCTTTTGTATAAGATTTAGGTAAGTTTTAAATAAAAAAATATAAATAGATGAGTACGCCTTATGCCAGTGAGGCAATGCGTGTCTCAAGGCAGGCCGCATCCATGATGAGGTGTAAGCCTTATAAAAAAAAAGCTCGAGGTGTAAGCCTTAAAGATTTTTTTTTTTGGAATTGCATTGAGGTGGGCATTAAGGTGAGCCTTGCGTAATTTTAAATAATGATTGGACTAAGTGCTATAAGCGGTATGGTATTATTGATCCCTGTGTGACGAACTCCCTCTGACCGCCATGTGCAACTCTGTCATCAGGTATATTTGCTGATCTTTCACTATGAGCTCTTGATATGATATTCATTTGTCCGTTTTTCTGTCTACTATATCATGCTCCAAAATTTTCTCTTCCTCTCTATGGAAAATCCATTGCCTTATATCCTTGTTGTCCACATCGAAAGGATTGTATTGCAAAAAAGGTAAAACTCTCCCGAATGTCTTCTTCCCTAATGAATATATTCGCTATAACTTCAAGTAGATGTTATCGATCAAGATCCCCTCACATTAATATATTTGCTTTTTTTCCCGGTAACTTCATCATTGATCCTCCGTCTGCTACTATCATACCTAGAAACCACATCATACATGGACGCTGGTACTATCAAATTAATCTCTATCAATATGATTCGCTCCACTAGTGGATGTTTGAACTCCATGCTCAATCCTTGTAGAATCATGTAGCACTTTTCTTTTGCAGTAGGATCAAATAAAGAGTATACCTAATAAGTGTAGTAAAATTGGCTTTATATTGCATCGCAGTATTCCATCATTACTCCAACTTAATGAACGATTTTTCCATCTATTGTCGGGCTAATGAAGGTACAAACCACATTCTGAATATCATATTGAACTCATCCTAAGTGATCAGAGCATTTATTTTCCCTTAGAATTTCTCTATCTATTGTCCAACCCACCATATCTTAGCCTCTCATACTTTCTATTTTTTTGATATAACATGTTGTCAAAATCTTATATATTCTTAACAGTAATCTTCTATAGCCTGTGGTCCTACAACTCTTTTAAACAATATAGGATTCAACTTATGGAATATCTGTAAGTGCTTGTCTCCCTCTTCTTCCATGTTCTCTGATAGCTTACTTTAAGTACTACATATAACTTATGCTAGAAAACTGGCCAGCTGCATAATAGTAATGACGGTAATGGAACTACATTGTATTGCTCATTTGGCACATCTTGTTCTAGTGAGTCCATTGCAACTATTTGTTCACACACTTCTATTTAATCAGAATAATTGACCCATGTAATCAATTATGTATGCAAAATAATGAACCTTAATCTATTACTTATATCCAACTCATAATCAATTCATATTATGCTAGTAATAATTTAATCAATTCTTTCAACAACTGTTATGATACCAAGTTTGTCACACCTCATAATCTAATTTGAAAGAATTATTTCTTTTATTTTTTATCATACAATAACCATATCTATATAACATCATCTATTAGTAATAAACAACGAAAAAAATTCTATAATTCAAAATATCATTGTACATCTATATTCATTACTTAAAAGAAAAAAAAACTTGAGGAATCATGATCAACCTCTCTCTCCTCTCTTATATTGACCTGAAATCATTTAAACTATATATAATGAGCTTTCATGGCCCTCACAGGGGGGCTGAAACCCCCTTCATGCTGCTCGGGTTCTCGCCTAAGGATGTTAAAACGAGTATGCGGGTCAAGCTTGGGTCAAAACCGGATTGATTCAGGTTTAAACGGGATGATCCTAGCTTGACCCATTTTCACAAACAGGTCGGAAAATCCAACCAGGACCCAACCCACGTGGATTATTAGGTTGAGCGGACCTGACCGGCGAACACGAAACAGGTGCAGTCGCGTGCGTGCGGGAGGAGCCTGGCATAGATAAGATAGATATGTGGGGTTTACTTGGAAAGATCTTATTAAATGCAATTATTATCATTTTGGATGTTCAATTTATAAGAATCTTTGTAGATACATCATATCAAATTAAAGTTAATTTAATAAATGCTTCAATTGCACAAAATTTTCCTCTTTAAGTTGTTTCAATGTTACCTATTACGTATTCTATTTGACTTAAAAGAGTACTACTAAAGATAATGTTGAATCATTTATACAAAAGAAACAAAAAAAAATTTGGCAACTTTGCATATCTACTAATTGACCATTATACTTTTTAATGCCCGAACTCTTTTTTTCTACAGCTTATTATACCAACTCAAAAAATATGTGATAATGGCGTGTTTTTCGTCGATAATTCAAGCAATGTTGACAAGCAAAGCCCTAATGGTTACAAACACATCGAGAATGTTACCACCTCCCAAACAATCAATCATTGCCTGATGTCGACTTTAACATTGTAACCTATTAAGCAAGTGTGATCCTCAAAGAAAAATGAGAGACATCCCTCAACAAGAATGAAAGATTGACAGAGGAAGGGAGAGTTGTGGCTGAATCAAAGATACCAATGTTGCAAAAGGTGATCTAATGTTTATTCTTCTCGGCCAAATCAAAGATATGATGGTCGCGAGTCTTCGATGTTGGGCAGTGAAACCATGAATACATCTTGCTTTGTTCTCTATCCATTTGATGTTTGCAGTTCGCTTGTGATATCTTTGTTTGTCTTGAACTATTCTCATGCAATGTTCTTTTTGTCTTTTGTGAGGGCCTTAAATAGGGATCATGGTTCTATGTTTGATCGGATGAATATGGGGATGATAAACGAGGCCAATTGAGTGAATATAAGACTAGTTGGCGAGGGCGAGAAAATTTTTGTATATATATATATATATATAAGGGCGGATACAGTGTGGGGGCCGTGGGGGCACAGGCCCCCACTGAAAATTTAATTCATGCTTAATTAAATGTATTAATTGCTCTTTAATCAGCATTAAATAAAATAAATTATATAAATTATTTGTTTTATTTGTGAGGCTCTTTCGATTCCGAAGCAGCGCTCCGCTCTTGCCTTCTTTCACGCACGCATGGCACATCAAGCGACCTAGCAAAGTAGCAAGGATTCCCGAATGTGAAGACTTCATGCTCACGCCGGCGTCCGACAAGGCTTCAACCAAGAACTGTAGACTGCAAACACCAAACTGTAGGCGCAAGGGCGGATAGGCGGATCGCTCAAGCGCCGGAAGCCGTAGGTATATCTGACTTTGAGTTTTTGTTTTTGTTTTTTTTTTCATTGTGGTGATTCGTTGAATGTGAAAAATGCAATTTTGATGAAAGAAGACGTTGTTCTTCTTTATCATCAGGTCAATATAGCATCAACTGTCATATGAACAATTAATTTGCAGCAATTTGAAAGTGAACTTGTATGTATATTATGTAGAATGTAAAGAGGTTTCTTTTGATTGCAGCAGGAGCTGGTTAGTTTAAGTCAGCAAAAATGGAACTTAAAAATTAGAACGCTACCAGATTTTGAGGCGCAGCTCAGAGGAAGATGCAAAGGCAGATTTTCTAATGACTACCTATCAGACTACTTGTTTGTTGTTGGAACAGATGAAAATGATTACTTGCTGAACTATTTTTCCCCTGCTGAGGAGCAAAAACCTTCACTCTCACAGTTTACAGAGGTTCTCGTGTCGAAATTGACATGATAGCTCAAGGTATTTGCCCTATCTGTGCTTGAATTATATGAATTGCATGAATTACATTAGTTTCTGGCCAATTAAAGGAAAATATAGTTATTCACTCTAGCATGTACATAATTTTTTACAAAAGTTTAGAGGAAGACGGAATCTCCCTTCACCTTCCAGCTATGGTCTCTTGATTCATCGTTTATTGTAGACGACAAAGAAGAACTAAGACTCGCGTCAAACATTAAATTAACATTAAATTGATTTACTTCATATTCAGTTTGTTCTTGCTATCAATCTCCTAACTTTGACACAATTAGTTTACTTTTATGCAGTCTTTGTGGTTATGACGTTCTATTTTGTTGATCTATGTAAATGAATTTTATAATCTATTTGGAAAAACTTTATTAATTATTTACATCTTTTGATGGCTTTCTTAAATTAAATTGAATCTTTGTTAATATAGTTCCATATTTCCATTCCAATTTTCATATGATTTTTTATTAATATAGACAATTAGACATAGTTGCTAGACATAAATGCAAAGATTAATGTAAGTTTTTTGCTTTATCATATATTTATCTTTTTATAATAAAATTAATAATTAAAAAAATTAAACACTCAATGATGGTCCTAAGCCACGATGAAAAAGTTAAGGATTTTTTTTAACATTAATGATTTGTGCCCCCACATCAAAAAAATCCTGGCTCCGCCCCTACGGCGCCAGGGCCCGTATTATATACCATAATTTTCCTTTCGGTGGAAACACATAAATATTAACTCCTTAACACGCAAATGGGAGACAGTATAGTCCCATAAGGCATCACAGTATAAATAATTGAACCGTTCTCGAAGAAAATAAATAAACAAACCGATTACTGGGGGAGAGGTTAGTTTGATTACCTCTGACTGTCATGGCGTCGCATCCAATCCACAGAACCACCGGATCAAAAAAAAAAGCCAACAAAAATCGCCATCAGATAAACGATTACAAAAGGGCAAAAGAAGAAGAATGGCCTATCACCCCGCCAACCACCAATTCCGATCTATCATTCTGAAAAGAACTAAAAGCTCACAGAAATGGTCACAGAGTAATCACCTCTCTATACTTCTTCAAATACAACTTAAGCGGTTCAATGTAGTCGTCAAACCCTAGTGTCACCATTGCCAACAGTATATCGTCCCCATTAATTGTCTTCCTCTTCTCCCTCAGGCACTTTTCGCTAGCCCTGCCCGCTAGCAAATACGATTAGAAACCATAAATCAAGACAAGAAACAAGTCGTAAAAAACATAGAAATAGGATGCCTAACTCGCTGGTGATGAAAGCGATGAACTCGGAAACGCACTCCTGCACGCTATCCTTCGCGTACTTGGCAATCTTTCCATTGGGAGGGACAGCCTTCCTCATGATGCGGCTGATGTTGGCCATGGGAAGGAGCCTATCCTGCTCACGGGCAAAGGATCTCGGACTCTCGTCGTCACTCTCGTGGGTTCCGCCGCAATGGCTTGCTGGCATCTCCTCCGCCATAGGCGGTACCCTAGATCGGCGACGGCACGAGAACGAATCATAAACGTGAACGCTCGTCTGCGTAGCGAAACACTAGACAATCGATCGCTTAGTTCAAAAAGCGTACCTCGCAAAACAATAGAGCGCGCGAACGAGGCTGAGTGGGAGTTCTATAACTCGGGATCTTCCCCTTTTCGGTTGCTTCGCGTTGGGGAGAGCAGGTGGGCGATCGGACGCTGGAGGCTGGAGAATCGAGGAAGGAGGAGACGACTGGGATTGAGAGATCGATCGAGAGACTCAGGTATCTGCACCGTCCGTTAGGCACACTATGGGCACTTCTGAGTTTTGGCTGTTCTCTCTCTATCTACCTTTATTTATTAAAAAAGCGCAGGATCTCGCGGCCCCGGTTATCCTTTTTCGGATATTTTTGCTGCTATTTTCGCTCTCTAGGAAGGAGGAGCGACTGCGCATTAGAAGGGACACGTGGAGACATGAGAGGAACTAAATTAAAATTTTTATATAATAAATAATTTAATTATTAAAAACCTATATTAAAAATATTAAAAGTAGGCCTAATTAGCGGATTTTTCAGTATATTCATTTTTATCGGATTTTTTCATGGAAAACAACTTGAATAAAATTTTCTAAAAATTAAAAAATATAGTTATTAATATATAGCAAATATTAGTTTTATAATTTTTTTATTATGACAAATAATAAATCATAAATTATGTAACATAAATTTATGATCTTAAAAAAAATAAAATTTCTATAATGTTTATTTTTTAAAAAAAAAGGAATTTGACTATTTATTTTAGATAAAAACTTTTATTATTTTTATATTTATGAAATAATTATTGAATTCGATAACGAGCTAAATTGGTTCAAATTCGAATTATTATCCAAATACAATGCAAATTTTTCCACGTTTGTGGATCCCACAATGTCTTTATAGAGAGTTCTGTTGCATGCCACTAAGCTGAGGGTGTCTTTGCCAATGAGGTTCGTAAAAAACTCCTATTATATCCTCACCGTCAATTTTGTTGAAGTCAACAACTAGCGATCTCTCGTAATAAACTTCTCTTCTAATTCACATGTCGCATGACCAATTTCTCATAATAAACTTCTCTTCTAATTCACATGTCGCATGACCAACAATGCATTCATTGTAATCTTCGTACGTCCGCAAACTCTTATTCTCCCGATCACATATAGATGTAGTCGATCTCTTGGGTGGCTTTCAAGGATGCTATATTCGTAAAATTATCTTCTCCTCAAATACCACTAGTGTCATCGAAGTTTGCCCCAAGAAACGTCTAATTTCAAACCCCTATTTTTCTTCAAATTTCGTCACTCCAATCTCATCAAAGCCTTTACGCAATTAGAAATGTAAATTTCACTTCTTCTTCATATGTCGTCGATCCTTTTGATGGTTCCCCTAATTCGTGATCTCTATGTAATCAACTTCATGGATGTCTTTATCCAGCGAGTTATGAAAGACGAAACAATAATGAGCATTCTAACATGGTTCAAACCAATTTTCAACTTAACTCAAACCATGTTTGAATTGAGATTCAAATCAAAGTTCGAACCAAAATTAAAACTTAAATCGAGGTTGAAACTAAATTCAAAATTTATACTAGTTTAAATCAATTTTGGATTACTTAAAATCGATTGTGCAATTCATGATAAAAATTGCCTGAAATAAATTTTTTGATATATTTATTTAAGAAAATAAATAAGGAGAATATTTATCACTATGGGTCATGTAAAGTCTTCCTTGTATAAAGCCTTATATTCATAGAGCTAAATATTCTTAACCAATAAATTAAGATGGGCAGAAGAACAATTGTTATAAAATCAATACGGTATATTTCTTCTAATTTAGATTTTTTCAATTGTCTAATTAATTTAATATTAGCAATATTTTTTATATAATTTAAAATCTTAAATATTATATAAAATAAAATAAATTTTTATGGCATACAAATAATTCCCCAAAAAACATAATAAGGAGTGCATTGAAGTATTTCATTCATACTAATACTGATAAGAGGAAAAAAAAAAACAGACACAGAGAAGAAACCTTTTCCCCTTCAATGGCTCTTATTCTATTTCTCCCTATCCTTAACGTATAGTGCGGTAAGTCAAATGAGGCTCAAACACTAATGATGAAATCGAATAGAAGATAATATGTGAACAAATATATAAGTCATCGACGGCTACAGTTTTTTTAAATTTTTGTATAGAAAACAATTTTATATGAGAACAATTTATTAGAAGCAGTGAAAATATAATAACTAAATAAAAATTATGATTGCTATTTGAAAAGAAAAACAATAAAAAAGTTAGGACTACTTTATAAAACAACTTCGTAATACAAAATTTACAGTTAAAAAAATTATACCAAAAAATAACTTTAAAATGTAGAAAGAAAGCTATCCCAAATGGAGTCTAGGGACGACTTTTTTGCTGCTTCTTATATTGATGTTTTGATTCTTAATACTTCAAACAACAATCCGTAGGTTGTTGAGTTTTGATATCCAAATCCAAATCAGTAGTTCAAAAAATTTAATTTTTATAATATAAAATTGTTTTAAGAAGCACTTAGAAGGTCGTCCCAAACGCGTTTGGTGAGGTGTGTCAGCTTTGATTTTCGTGAAGAAAACTATTGTATTCGATTTCAAAATAAAAAAAAAAAATGATCCCAAATGAGATTTTAGTAGTTATAATGTTTTATGTTAAATGAACAAATCAATATATTTTTTTTAATTTTTAATGTTAAATTAACAAATCAATATATAATTGAGCGTCTGAGGTTAACTTAGATTTTGTTTAGGACGAGTTTTTTATTGCTTCTTAAAGCAATATTTTAGTACAAAAATTAAAGCTAGTTGCAATTCAATTCTTATAGGTTAGGTTTTATTTGGGACAAATATATTTGTTTTTAATTTTTATTGCTACTTTTTAGTATAAAAATAATATAAAATAATTATAAAAAATTATTTCAAATGAAATCTTAGACTTTATTTAGAAAAAAAATTCTATTTTTTAAAGTGATGTTTTATTAAAAAATTTTTAAATTAAAAATTTTGATATTAAAATATTACTTAAAAAAATAATAAGCGGTCCCAAACAAAACCTGAACAATGTTTTTGCAAGCACTCTCAGTCGGAAAAAGCTTGTCATGTTATTTAACTACCAAAATCATAATCCAATTCCAATATTTAATCAGCCGCTGATGGTGATATTCTATCGTGTTTAGAAGGGGACAGATAAAAAACCCGTTTTAAATGGACTATTCAAATTGTTTTAAAATTATCATTTTATTTTATTTATAACTTATAAGTGATTATGTGAACAGTATATATAAAGAGGTATCTTATAAGTATCGCTGTATTTCATGGGGGTATCCACCCTCCTGTCATTGTTGAGTTGATATTACATGGCAAACATCATGATGTCCGCTTGCTGATGTGAAAGGCCCCATATGAGGATTTATTATTCTGTGCGCTAAATCTGTGCGGAGTGCAGAATGCAAAGCGCGGAGGCGTTTGAAGATCAATAAAAATACGCCACGTCCCCCTATTATTGGGTACCCAGCTCTGTACCGACACTCGGTACCCCATGATACCGCTGGATACCCAATGCTTAACCGGACGATTCTCCCGTCCGGTATCAGTACAGAATAAAAGTGCCACAATTGTTTGTTTTCCCATGGCTTCTCATGACTGTGCATATTTTTAATATTTTTTTTTTTAAAAGGCAGAACTCAAATTCATTTCACTTTATAAAATAATTACAGATTTTAAAAAATAACTAAATATATCTAACTATATACTAGAAGAAAAATATATATATTCATGTGTATACCAAAACTCAAACGAACCTACGTCAAAAAGAAAAAAAAATAGCACAAGGTGGCCAAAGCCTAAATATATATATATATATATATATATATATATATATATAAAAGATCCGTAAAATTGAAAATGACAACAATTCCCCTAACAATTCAAAGACCTTTCAAGAATAGAAATTAGACTAGTTGCCATGAAGGCCACATAGGGGACGGAGCAGAAGATGAGATGCCTGGCATTCCTCATAGTCCACCAGCGTCGAATTCGTGTTGCAAACGGGAAAAGGAATCGAGTGGGCAACAAAAACTAGAGAGAGCATCTATAGACCAAACCGTGAAGCAACCAAACATAAAATGAACACAGTAGCAAAAACAACAGAATTTACCATCCATCAAAACTCCAATAAAGAGCCCAGCACCCAAAGTCCCAGAAAATAGAACCCAAATAACCAACAATCCAAACCAGCCAAGAATCATCAAGAAGGGTGGAGGCAAGAAACCAACAAAGATAGCATAGCCACCTTTTTAATCTTGAAAGCAATAGTAGTGTTGCGGGCTAGAATATACGCGACGATAGAGTTATAATTCTACGTCTTAGCGTTGCACGGATATCCAGCTCACACACAAAGAACACGATATTTTTACGTGGAAAATCCGGAAAGGGAAAAAAACCACGGGGCCTAGCCCAGCTGAAAATGATTCCACTAAAATTTGAGGAAAGTACAATGGTCTGACTCGTCCTTGAAGACGACCAGATTACAAATATCAACTGTGAGTTTTGCAAAAGCCCAACGTCACTCCTCTGTCAGGTGATGGTCCGACAGCACTCCGATATCAGGCGATGGATTGGCAGTGACACTTTTCGGACTTTGTAAGCTTCAACATCCGAAAATAGGGGGGAAACTGATACGTCATAAAAAAATAGACTCAATCAAGCACGAATCTCAAAGCAAAATCAAGTTGGGAACTTCAAAAGTTAAATCGGAGACCATCTGAATTATGATTTCAGTAAACTTATAGTCAAATTGAGCATCTCAGAAACACGAACCCAACGACACCAAAATCAACCCAATCCGAGCCTGAATGAGTCTAAATCAAAGACTTAAAGCACTTTTGGAAGGATCAAACAGTAATTTGGGTTACCAAACGATCTCCAATCATGATATTCTTATAGTCTCGACGAGACGAATCCAACGAGCCCAAGATCATCAAATTCTAATATCATTAAGACAGCCAAAAATATATTGAACGGTGCATGATCATAAGAATCAAGATCGACCGTCCATTCGAACCACTCCAAATTCACCCTTGATCTTAAACTTATTTACAAGACATGCCACTCAAGAATTCTATAAATAGAACCCCATTTCCACTTGAAAAGGAGGAAGCCAAGAGAGAAGAAAGAAGAAAGTTACAGACTCCTAGCTCCTCCTCGACCACCGCCGTATTACTGCCGCACCACCACCGGACCACCAAGGGATGCCGGAGCGCTGCCGCACCACCGCCGGAGTACTGCCGCACCACCGCCATAGTTCTATCGCACCACCGCCGGGCCACCAAGGGACGCCAGAGTGCTTCCGCACCATTGCCGTAGTACTGCCGCACCACCGTCAGACCACCAAGGGACGCCGGAGTGCTGCCGCACCACCGCCGAAGTACTTCCTCACCACCGCCATAGTTCTATCGCACCACTGCCGGGCCACCAAAGGATGCCAGAGTGCTTCCGCACCACCACCGTAGTTTTGCCGCACCACCGCCAGAGTACTGCCACGCCACCGCCATAATTCTATCGCACCACCGCCGGACCACCAAGGGACGCCGGACTGCTGCCGCACCACCGACAGACCACCAAGGGATGCCGAAGTGCCATCCGAAGCTGAAGTACCCCCTGACATTGAAGTGCCACTACCGGTCTTCCGCATGACACAGAAGTTCTGCGGATCGCCAACTGACATTGGAGTGACGTTGGACTCTTGCAAAACTCTTAGTTGATACTTGTAATCTGGTCGTCTTCAAGGACAAGTCATACCATTGTACTTTTATGAAATTCTAGTGGAATCATTTTGAACTGGTATAGGCCCCGTGGTTTTTCTCCTTTCCCGAGTTTTCCACGTAAAAAATATTGTGTTCTTTATGTGTGAGATGGATATTCGTGCAATGCTAAGACGTAGAATTATAACTCTATCGCCACGTATATTCTAGGCCGCAACAAGTAGATGAGCTGCAACTCCTAGAGCATAATTTTCTATCATCCCTCTCCTTCCAAATGAAACAAAGAGAGCATGAAATAATAAGATAGTATAAATTTTTGCTAGAGCTCATAATAGTCTGAGAATCCTCCACAAATTGAAACATCTCAATTAAAAAAGCAACATAGCTTAAGCAAAATGAGTGCGACTCTCCAGATTGGAGGAGCATAAAGAGCAAAATGGGTCTATGACAATATTACACTTAAGCAAAATATTAGATGTTTAAGCCCTTCCAACAATGTCATCCATATAAAAGTAGAGAAATGAAAGTTGTGCCTTTTGTGCCATAAGAAATTATACCAAGATACCTGATGCAAGTCCACGAAGTAATCAAAAGAAAAAGTCCTACAGGAAGGATTTTGCCCAGGCAGCAACAAAATGTTAGGGAAAGAAACCTCATCAAATGAGTTGTTGAGAATACGATTGCGAATAAGAGGCAAGACTATTCAAATTTAAAGATAGGGACAAAAATAAATCAAATCAACTCAATAAATAACTCATTAGAACATTTTCAAGAGCTACCAATTCAAACTTAAGATAGTCTTAACTCACAAACCAGCTCATTAAAAAAAACATTAATATAAAATATATGAAAATTCAAAAATTGAAATATTAAAAAATACTAAAAAAATCTAATATAGTATAGGAATTAAAATACAAATTTAAACTCGAATTCAAACTCATATTGAGGCTTCATTTTAGATAACTTTATTTATTATTTTCTAAAACAAATTTTTAATTAAAAAATTCTTGAAAGCAATAAAAAAATATTGTTAAAAAATTATCCCAAACAAAACTTAAATTAATCATGCTCAAACTCAAATTACTCAACTCAACTCATTTACACTTATATTTTTTTTGATTTTACGCTACTCTCTTTATAATTTCCCCACAAATTAATAATAATAATAATAAAATAAATTGTAACATAATCCAACCACATTTTCCAATTAAAAAATATTAAATTCTCTCTAGTTTTTAAACCACCCAAACGTACATTCACATGATCAAATTTCAAACTCAATCAAAATACTTCAATAGTCAAGCTCCCTATCTCAAGATAGCTAAGTTCAGTCATAAAATAGATCTTCAACGTCAACTAAAAGTTTAACAGATGTTGCTAACAAATTTTAAAAAAATCTCATTTACAATAAATTTGTGCTTAGTTACTCGAGCATTCTAAAAAATAATAAGTCTTAGATGATCAAATGGAAAAATTATTAGGTGCGGAGATGAGATGTAGAGTTACAGCCGAACTCTAATAAAATGTTGACACATGGAGTGAATATATTGGATTTATTTTTTACTATATATTTAATGTGTCCGCAAAATTTTAAGCAAAGCGCAAATAAAGTGCAATAAAAAGTGCAACAAAAGAGTAGTCAAAGTGCAACTAAAATACAACTAAAGTACAGATAAAGCATAATTCAAGCACAGAAAAAAAAACGCAACAAAAAACAGTCAAAGCACAACTAAAGTGCAGGTAAAGTACAGCTAAAGCGCACAAAAAAGCACAACCAAAGTGCACCTACGTGTCAAATTTTAAGTGGATGTCCGGACATATCTCTACATCGGATATCCGCACCTAATAATTTTCCGATCAAATGGCAGGCAACAACTTCAAAATTTGTACCAAGGCTCAAATAAAAAAGCTAAGGCTACTGCATATGGGAATCAAAACAAACATAACAGGTCTCCTTCAATAGCGCAGATACTCAAAGCTTAAAACAGTAAGCACAGGTTAGGTAGTTAAATAAATTTATGAAATAAAAATATTGACCATTTGTTCTGAGACAATGGCCTAAACAAAGTCAATCTCCAATGACAGATAATTAGTACCCAGATTAGATTTCTGCTCTATTCACAGATAGGAAGTATTGCAGATGTTTATATAAAGCCGTCCAGAAATTACATAATAAATAATAAGCAAACGATATGAAAAACTAATAGTTCCAACTGAATGAGTTTCTCAAGCACAGTTCGAAGCTTTCGTCATCTGGCCGACCTGGTTTCATAAAAAAAATATTAGAATATAATTTCTCCACATGGAAAATTAGATTAAACTAGTATAAAAAGAAGGATTGAAAACATTCAATGTTTATCAGTAGCATAATCGCAATTGAGGCAAATCTCTCTCTTAGATGAGCTAGGACACAAGTAGCTGTTGTCAAAATGATTTCCTATTAGTACTCAATACATTCAATCAAAATCAAAATGGTTATTTCTAATACACTACACACTACATCTTGATTCCACAAATTGAACACAATGAACTCTAATTTGATTAATCTGATGATAGAATCCAAAAAAAAAAAGGATGAATAGAAAAACTTATTAGATACCATGGAATCTAGTATCTATTAAGTTATACCGACTATTGGATTTGATCCAATGAGTCCCGCCATAAGAAAGCAATACTCTAACCACTGAGTTAAGTAGGTCATTTATCACCCGCCATAAGAAAGCAATACTCTAACCACTGAGCTAAGTAGGTCATTTATCACCGCAAAAAAAGATCACCATAACTTTGATGTAACATAGGTAAAATATATTTCTTAAGCAATATCAATCTTTTACTAGTAAATATAAACAGATCAAAGAGTTATCATGTAGAATTATTGAAAATACCCTTCTTGACAAGAAAATGTCTCTATGTTAAAATGGTTTGATAAGGGGTATAGCTCAGTTAAATAGAACACCTCATTTACACATGCGTCAATGCTATTTAAGGGAGCCCATTATACAATAATGACTATAATTGAGCTTTTTGAGAAGTTTGTGTCTTACTCCGTAGATTTATGAGAACAAGAGAAAAATAGCCTAACAAATGTGTATAAAGGCCCTCATGATCTACAAGGATTCACAGTGAATCATATGCCAGCTCTAGTGTACATAAAAAGTACGCAAGCTAGAATTCACCATGGTTATGGAGCTCATGAAACAATTCAAGCTACTCGAATTCAACTAAATGCAAAGAAAAAAGAATGCAAGGCATACACATTAGTCAAGTTTGGAAACCAAATAAGTAAAGTAATAACCCCCCCCCCAACCCCCCCCCCCCCCGGATGGAATCATTATACATAACAGGGTCCTTTTCCCAAACCTTAAAGAACTTATCCAGGATCAAGGTGTAAGTGAGCCAGCTAGCTATCGAGTCGGTTCAAGTTGAAACGAGCTCGCGAGCAAAGCTTACTCGATTATCAAATATTTAGGGATAAGAAATAATCTTATTTATTTATTTATATAATTTAAAAATTAAATTTAAGTTTTCGTATTTAAATTTTTTACAAATTTGTTATTTAACAAAAGCACCATTAATTAAATGCAGCAACTGCACATCTCTCAAAATATAAAAAAAGAGCTTGTCCACTTCATTATTAATGCTACAATAAAACTGATGTTCCGTGTGGAAAAAAGAAACTATTCTTCTTCTTCTCCAACGGGCAGATGGACGAGCTTCATTTATTCTTTGACAATCCCATGGTGATGCCTGTTGTGCTTCTTGAGTGCTCCTACGAGCTCAAGTAGAGCTCTCGAGCCGAAGAGTAAAAGGATGAGTCGGGTTTGAGTTCTTTTTTTTTGGGCTCGATTTGACCTCGAGCTCGAGTTCGAGCCTACTTTCTAACTGACAAGCCAAGCTTGATAACGCCACTATTCGACTCGACTCGCTTACACCCCTATCCAAGATTGTAACATCCATACTGGAAATGGCTCATTGCATGGAAGTCTCTATTGAAAATTAGAGACATTCTTTTCTTACACTTTCAGCACGATGAATGGCCAAAATAAAGCAATAAAAGAACCCAAGCTTCGAAGGAGATTGCCCCAGTGTGTGTATTTCAATGAAACTTGATAATGGAAGTATTAGGACTAGCTATGAATGAGATGTTTGTCTAGTAATGAAACAAGAGGAAAGCAATGTACAAAGTACAGTCAAGGGTGTATAATACCCCACCAATTTGTGCCAAAGATGCAAGTGAAGCTCAAACATATGTGATACTAATGGCTTGTAATGGTCTAGAATTGTATGGATTATGAAACACTGCAACATTTGTCAAATATACGGAGACTATATGTCAAAACCCTTGTATCTTACCGTAACATCCTGGCCTATCTTTCTATTATGCGCTAGTACCAAACTGAATTGCTAAGTGCATGGAAAGGAGAACCTTCTTCTGAAACACACTCCCCTTGCCCTTGTTCCATGGCTAAAAAAAAGCAATGGCTGCTGCGTCACCTTATTTTACAATCAAGGCGATGATTTCATTTCTTCTACCATGCAACAAGACTACAAATGCAACATTGAAAACTCGCCTTTGTTTGCTCTCTGCATCGTAAGAGAGTCCCTCCCTGGGACGTTTGTTGTTGTGTACAAAGCTTGCACTTGTTCTATCCACCCGAAGACTCTTCTTGTTCAATCCATAAAACGGTCCCACTAGTTGGGTCTTTTACCAATCGATCGATCGACTAAAACCAATTTTTCTAGGACTTGAAAAAGGTCGATCAATGAGTTTTTTCTTCTCCTGCAATCTCCCTCAACGCAACCATTCTTCCCCATTCAAGAATCACTATTTTCATGGTCGAATGATGAAATATATATGTGATCTATATAGGAGCATACGTTGGAATGTGATAAGTTATTCTTTAATAAGATCTCAATGGAATCGTAAAATCCACTAAGGATGCAATAGGTATTTGTGATTGATTAGCTTTCAATATGGCCGAAGACTTTCTATTTGCATCTAAAAGAATTACACAATCAGCCAATTAGGTTGTTGCTTCAACCAATCATTTATCTTTTTCTTTCTCGAACGGATTTGTTTCAGACTTGAACAAGAATTAGTCAAAAAAAGCCTCGATTGTCCATTGAGAATCCTTGACACAACTCGCCATGTCTTCCATGATCTTAGATAGAAAGAAATTCTTGCTCTTAAAAAAGAAGGAACGACCTTTTTGATGAACAGGAGATCCTTTAAAATGAAAAATGTTTCATAGAAAAAGAACTGTCTTGTCTAAATCTAGAATAGCAATTCCATTTCTGGAATGACATAAATAAACTATGAAATGGTGAGTAGCTAAATGACGGTCAAGATGTGTGCTCGTACTAAATAATTTTTGACAAACTATAGAAGAAGGGATTGTAATTTTTGCTTTTCCTTTCTTAAGAGACATGTAATAAATCAGATAATAAAAGAGGTTTGTTGCACTTTCAGTGGATGAGATCTATTTTGATTATGTATCAAAAATCTACTTTTGAAAAGAAAAAGATTCTTTGGAATTGGAAATGCACGAGGTAATAAAAATGCTTGATGCGAGCCACTTCTAAGGCATATTGGCGGTCGATACAACTTGAAAGAGAGACCCTTCACTTTACTCCGACTTAAAACATTGCATGTGTTGACAAACTATTTGACAAACGAACCTAGCTAATTGATGTCATAAGCAATCATCCTCTAATAGCAGTGAAATAGTTCATGCTCAGAGTGAAGGAAAGCACTTCAACTCTCTCTTAGCTCTTCAGACAATGGCACATCATCAGCCGTGCCTTAGTTCTATTATCGTTCAATGTTTTATTTTCAGCGCTGATGGAAGCATTCCAAGGTGTCTTTGAATTGTGCAACCGTCATATCAATAGTTTTTGATGAGGACATCGTCAGAGATTTCGACATGTGTACCATCGAAGACAACGTAGATCGATGGCCACGATCATGAGCTTATATTTTGAGTCATTTTATGTAGTAGTTTATTTTATTTTTCAGTTTTTACTGTTTTACCCTTATGGGTGGTCATTTGATATTATAGCCCCGAGGGCATTTATGTCTTTTAGTTTTTTGTTTCATTTTGGCCTATTTATAGGAGGCCTCATGCATTGTACTGAATGATGAATTATTGAATAAAAAAAGCTTGTGCCTGTTTGATATCTTAGTGAGTTCATGAGGGAAGTCCGAGGAGGGTCATTTGTAATACCCGTCAATCTTTAGAAGAGTCCAGTATTCGCGGTTCTTACGATCTCTTTGTGAGTTCGTTATTTTTACTTTTATCGTATTTGTTTCTTCCTATGTTGCACCGATACGGATACAACGACACGGATACGACAAGATATGGATACGGGACACGTCAATTCTTAAAAATATAGGATACGGGTACGGCGCGGACACAACATCATAATTTATAAATCATATATAAAAATTAAGAAAGCAATCAAAATATAATATTTGAAATTACAAAAAAATGACAACAACATCATTTGTAGCCTTGTAGCTTATAATATCAAAATATAAGTAAGCATTAAATATCTAGTACAACAGCAAAAGCATAAACATAAATTGTCTAGCACATAAAGTTTCAACTATTCAATAGAAGGAATGATATGATTAGCTTCTTCAGTGGTTTGTCTTTGACTTCTATATCATCTTCAATAAACATCATAGCTTTTAATTCAGGCTCATCAAATGAAAGATTAGTAATTTCTAATATTCTCATATCATCAAGAGACTCAAATCCATCTCGGAAATGAGAGAACTTTGCTCGCAGCCACGGAAGTAAATACGATGCATCTTTTTTTGGATTTCTTTTTGCTTTTCAATGGACACGTGTATCAGATACACATGTCCTTTTGAAATTAAATAATATTTTAATTGGATATGTCTTTGGCGTATCCGACACGTATCGGTGGAGTATCAGAGGCGTATCCGTGTATTGGTGTATCGGATACAGCACGCCTTCATAAATATGTGTATCGGTGCAACATAGGTTTCTTCATTCATCCATCTTCAACTTCCGGCGTTCTTCCACAACTCCACCACCACCCCACCCCCGAAATACCACCTCTAAGTCCATTCGAACTACACATTCCCAAGCACCACCCGCCGGCCTAAGTCCCTTCTCCCACCCAACCTGATGCCAACTCCTCCCCATCATCCTTGCCGCCAGCCACCACATGAATTTCCATCATTATGGTGATCCCCATCACATTAATGACTTCCTACATTAACTCCCACAAGAAAAGGAAAAGATTTAATCCCATTTGAAATTCAAATTTAAATTTCAAATTCTTTCCATATTTAGAATTCTCAATTAGGAAAGTATTTTGTCATGAATTCAATTTAAATTCAAAATATTTGATTTATTACTAGCTTTCCTAATTCTTAAACTTTGTTTAGAAACTCCCCATAACTCCTCCCCAATTCCTCCTCTCTCAATGCCGCCGGCCACTCATTGATGACTTTGCCATTAAGTCCCATTAAAGCTCCCAATCCCTACTTAATTTGAATTCAAAATTCAAATTAAATTCCTCCAAAACCACTTACACCTGAATTTATTTCAGAATTTCTAAAACTTCCTCTTCTCTCTCTCTATGGCGGGCCACCCATTTCCTCCCTTAATTAGGAGCTTAATTCAAGGCTCCAAATTAAGCCCCATTAATTCCCACTTTCCCTCCTAACGTTTTAATTTCAAAATTCAAATTTGAAATTATGAGAGCCCAACTCAAATTAAGGAAATCTAAAATTAATTTCAGATTTCCTCTCCTAGCCTAATCCAAGCTCCTCATTCAAGCCGCACCTTCCCCTTCTCCCTACCTTGGCCGCTCCCCCTCCCTTGCATCCTCACTCTTGGGAAAACTTAGTTGCTCATGAAACTTAAAGCCAAGAGAAGAAGACGACCTCCTCTCCCAACCTCATCTTCATCGGTGCATGGCCGATCCTGAGATCGACCATGAATTTTATTCTTCACGAACGTGGATGCTCACTAATCAACCCGTGGATTACCCGCCTCCGGCTACTTCTCCAACGGACTACACTTTGGGCGCCATTTGTCTCCTAGTGGCATCACTCGGTTTGCTCTCAATCTTCCTCCGTTAAAGCTCCACCGTCAAGAGCGTGAGTGAGGGACCCAAGGTGAAGAGTTCTATTTGTTAACCGTGGATTATTGTTTCTCACCATAACATTACTCTCTATTTATATGTTGTCAATTTGATATTGTCTCGTTAATCTAGTTGTAACAGCATGCCATACATAATTTTGACTTGAGAATTATGAAAACCTAACTTTGAGTAAGCATTAATTCTATAACTAGCAAAGTTTTAATAATCTTATATTAAAAATCACCAAGCAGTTCTTGTTTTCATGCATATGTTTCACATCAGTTTTATACTGAAGTCCTTTTTGCAATGAAGGGAGATTACAAAATGAAGCTAAAAAAAAAATCAGGAGCCGTGAATTTTATAAAAAGTATAGGTTAATTGTGCACAGCTCTGTGCCTTTGTATTTGTCAAGAAGTTTTCCTTCCATAAGGAAATAAACAGTCATGCATGGATAAAATGTTTCTTTAGCTGACCTGCACTAAAAAAATGGACAGGCTATTCACTTCCAAAACATTTATAACATACTCAAATGGAATATAAATCCATTATTTCACATCAACTTCATGAGAGTAGATTTGAAATTGGGGGATTCAAAGACATTCAGATACCATGCTTCGTACTTAAGTTGCATTAACTGGCATGATGATTCTTTTCAAGAAACACTAAGTAGAGAAAAAAGCAGAAAGAAGATGCTCAATCAGTACAAGGCCCTGACTATTACCCGATTAGAGGCCGTTTATTTCAACTAGCACATATGTTTAAAAAAGATTCATAATATAGCTTTCTATGATTAATTTCAAAACCAACTTTATGACAAGAAGCCCAACCAAATGAACCCTTAATTGTTCAATGGGTTGGTATGTTCATTTCAACAGAAGCGTAACGACAGAAAAGTGGAAATAAGCTACCTGAGTATTCATATAATTCATGCCTTCAGTAAAAGAGCCTTGCTGAAGCATCTGCAATTTTTAATTACAAAATTATCAATCAAAACAAATGAAAAAGATTTGCATGCTAGAGTTGGTTACAAATCTAATCAAGAGATGAAGATACCTTCATATCCCCTTGCATGCTTGAACCAGATAGGTTTCCACCTTGAAGACCACCTGCATCTCTCTTACCAGAGCTCTCTGCTCCCTTAGCAGAACCCTTGCCATCTCCCTGCCAAAATTAGAGCAAAATTAGTACTGAAGAACTGCAAGAATGAGCATCTTAGACGTTAAACGTTTGTCATCGGGCTATCTTTAACAATTAAGGCAGCATGTATGTAGTGCTTAAATTTTAAACTGGCCATGTAAAATATCCCATAAAAATTGATGCGCCTTTTCGGCATGTAAGTAGTACTTTACTTTTACATTAGACATGCAAGCAACCACATCTAGAAATGCACAATGATCAATAAAATCGCAAAACTATAGCATTAATTTTACTTTAATAGAACACCGCCAGGGCCCGGATTATATACCATAATTTTTCTTTCGGTGGAAACCCATAAATATTAACTCCTTAACACGCAAATGGGAGACAGTATAGTGCCATAAGGCATCACAGTATAAATAATAGAACCGCTCTTGAAGAAAAAAAAAAACCGATTACAGAGGGGAGAGGTTAGTTTGATTACCTCTATCTGCCATGGCGTCGCATCCATTCCACAGAACCACCAGATAAACAAAAAAAGGCAACAAAAATCGCAATCAGATTAACGATTACAAAAGGGCAAAAGAAGAAGAATGACCTATCACCCCGCCAACCACCAATTCCGATCTATCATTCTGAAAAGAAGTAAAAGCTCACATAAATGGTCACAGAGTAATCACCTCTTTATACTTCTGCGAATACAACCTATGCGGTTTAATGTAGTCTTCAAACCGGTCTAGTGTTGTCATTGCACACAGTACATCGTCCTCAGTAATTTTCTTCCTCTTTTCCCTCAGGCACTTATCTCTAGCCCTGCCCGCTAGCAAATACGATTAGAAAATATAAATCAAGACAAGAAACAAATCGTCAAAAACATAGAAATAGGATGTCTGACTCGCAGGTGATGAAACTGATGAACTCGAAAACGCACTCCTGCATGGTCTCCTTCGCGTCCTTGGCAATCTTTCCTTTGGGACGGAGCGCCTTCTTCATGATGCGGCTGATGAAGGCGATGGGAAGGAGCCTATCCAGCTCACGGACATTGGATCTCGGGCTCTGGTCGCCACTCTCGTGGCTTCCGCCGCAAGGGCTTGCTGGCACCTCTGCCGCCATAGGCGGTACCCTAGATCCGCGACGGCACGAGAACGAATCATAAACGTGAACGCTCGTCTGCGTAGCGGAACCCTAGACAATCGATCGCTTAGTTCAAAAAGCGTACCTCGCAAAACAATAGAGCGCGCGAACGAGGCTGAGGGGGAGTTCTAAAACTCGTGATCTTCCCTTTTTCGGTTGCTTCGCGCTGGGGAGAGCAGAAGGGCGATCGGACGCTGGAGAAGAGAGGAAGGAGGAGACGACTGGGATTGAGAGATCGATGGAAAGACTCAGGTATCTGCACCGTCCGTTAGTCACACTATTGGCACTTTTGGATCTTCTCTTTCTATATCCCTTAATTTATTAAAAAAGCGCAGTATTCTCAGCGGCCCCGCCCATCCTCCCCGATATTTACGTTGTTCCACTCCTATTTTCTCTCTAACAAATGGGTATTTACCGTTGCGTTTTTTTTTTTTGAAACGGGAGAACCTATCCTTTGTCATTTTAAAGAAAGCTATTAGTGACATAATTAGGCTTTGTTTAGTTTTTTGTTTGTACTTTTGTAAGATAATTTTAGGAAACATTGTTTCAGAAAATATAGTTATCTAATAGAGAAGCATCTATAAAAAGCTTTCTTGAAACAAAAGGAGTTATTGAGAACTTGATTTGACAAACAAAACAATAAAGAAGAAATGAATTTGTCTTTTTAAAACGCAATAAGCACCAAAAAACTTCAAATCAAACGAAGCCTTAATCTCTTGGCGGAATTTAGCAAGGTCATCTACCGGCATTGGGCCCACATTTGTTTTGCCCCATTGAAGAGGCGAGACCGTAGTAGAGAGGATTTGAATCCAGGATAGGTGGTTCCCAATCGTGCTCGCCCACCAACCATCTTAAGCCTCAGTGGGTATGAGTGACTAATTTAAAATTATATATAATAAATCATCCAATTATTAAAAATATATATTAATACTATTAAAAGTACCACTAATTAATAGGTTTTTAATATTTTCATTTTTATAATTTTTTTTATAACATGGAAAAAACATACAACAACAACAACAACATAAAGCGTGTCCCACTACGTGGGGTCGGCTACATGAATCTTTTTTCTCCATTGTGTCCTGCTAAAAGTCAAATTCTCGTTTAAATCTAATAAGAAAATATCATTTCTAATATTCTCTAAGCAAGCCTTTTTAGGTCTACCTCTATATTTCTTAACATAAGTCTTATCTAATACCTCAACTTTCCTAATAGGGTCATGTGGAAGGCCGCCGTTTTATGTGACCAAACTATCTAAGGCGACCCTATCTAATCTTATCATCCACTAGAGCTACTCCATCACGAATACGCTCATTTCATATCATGTCTCTAAGAGTAAAGTCACTCATCCACCCTGAGCATCCTCATCTTTGCAACACTTAACTTGGTAGTATTACTATTATGCTTCTCTTTTAATAGCCAACATTCGACAACATGAAACATTGCAGGTCTCACCACCATCTTATATAATTTTTCCTCAAGTTTGAGAGGGACTTTCTATCACACAACAAGCCCGATGCATTTCTCCACCTCAACCATTCAACTTGAATTATGTTGATAATATCCCCAGCTATTTCACTATCACTCTGAACAATAGATACAATATATCTAAAATGTGTACTCTTATTAATGATTTGATAGCCCAAAGTTACAATCCCCTCACTAAGTCTATTACTACTAAAATTACGCGTTATATATTCAATTTTAGATCTACTGAAGCGAAAACCTTTAGACTTAAGGTTGACCTCCATAATTCAAGTTTGCCTTCAACTCCCTCTATAGTCTTATCAACAAGAATGTCCTTAGCCAAAAGCATACACCAAGGTACATCCTCATGTAAAAGTATAGTGAGACATCCATGACTAAAGCAAAAAAGATACAGGCTTAAGGCTGATCCTTGATGTAATCCAACTGAAATAGAAAATATTCGGTCAAACCACCTTGTGTTAGAACACAAGTAATAGCTCCAACATACATATCTTTAATGATTTGAATGTATGCGTTATTAACTCCTTTCTTTTCAAGAACTCTCCATAGCACTTCTCTTGGAAATTTATCATATCCTTTCTTTAAATCGATAAATATCATATGTAGATCTTCCTTATTCTCTCTATATTTCTCCATCAAACCTCTCAATAAATGTATGTCTTCCATAGTAGGCCTGCCCGGCATGAATCGAAATTGATTTTGAGAAACATTAGTATCACACCACAACCTACGTTCTATAACTCGCTCCCATAATAAAATTTTATGAACATTTTAAAAAAATAGTTATAAATATATAACAAATATTAAATTTATAATTTTTTAAAATGACAAATAATAAATCATAAATTTATGATCTAAAAAAAAATTCAACAAATTATTGCATGATAAATCCTCTCCTCTAATACTGAAATATTATTATTAGTATTTCCGTAATACTAATATTTTAATACTGAAATTTGTTATTTTTTAAATGTACAATTAAAATTGCTAACAACTCGCGTTATTTTTTTTATTAATTTTTAAAAACAATCTTAAAGGTAAGACTTCTCCCCATTAATGACTTTTGGCAAAGGAAAATTACAAAATCAACCCGTTTTTAAAATGTTAATGTTTTAAGGCAAATTTGATCTGCTTTCATCAGTTTAATAAATTATATACTAATTTTTCCTTCTCCCGTGAAAACGATGATTAATGTAAACTAATGTTACAATTATTTAAAAATTTTATGGATAATGCTAAAAACAATATAGCATATCATAGCATAGATTTGAAAAATAAAACATTCCAAACTGATATTTATTGTTTCCTTCATTCCACAAGATCGGTAATCATGAAGAAAATGATAGGCAAATTATTATTTTTAATGACGAGCCTTTAAGAAATAATATTCTATTTCAATAGTCCTTATGTCATTTCAATGGATTTTTTAAAATGTTTTTTCATATTCAAATTAGTTCCCACTGCTATATTTTTATCATCTAAATATTCAATGTCAGTCAACCCCACTTTGATATCACGTGAAAATTATTGGCGTCACACTCCCTTGTTGTGCTCACTAGGGGTGTCAATTTCGGGTCACGGGTCGGGTTCGGGTCGAACCCGGAACTGACCCGGGTTCAAACGGGTTGACCCTAACCCGGGTTCAAACGGTTTTTTCGGGTCGGGTTCGAGTCGGGTTTTCTTGATTATCACTTAACTAAAAAATAAGTGGCAAATTTCGTTCATTGCTCTATGCAGGTCGCAAAGGAAAGTGCTGATGTCATAATTCTTGATGACAATTTCTCCACAATTGTGACTGTGGGCAAATGGGGGCGTTCTGTTTACATAAACATTCAAAAGTTTGTACAATTTCAGCTGACTGTTAATGTTGTTGTTCTAATTGTTAACTTCTCATCAGCTTGTTTTACTGGTAACCAAAATTACCATCCTGTAATAAATTTTTTTTTTACCTTGAAGATCATTCTTATGACTGTTATGCTTAAATACTATTCCAGGAGAAGCTCCACTCATTGTTGTTCAATTGCTATGGGTCAACATGATTATGGATACACTGGGAGCACTTGCACTTGCACTTGCCACTGAACCTCCTAATGATGAGTTGATGAAAAGAACACCTGTTGGGAGGAAAGGGAATTTTATTAGCAATGTAATGTGGAGAAATATCTTAGGACAGGCTTTCTACCAGTTTGTTGTGATTTGGTATCTCCAAACATAAGGGAAAAGGTTCTTTGGGCTTGAAGGCCCTGGTTCTGATGCCACTCTGAATACCCTCATCTTTAATACATTTGTCTTCTGCCAGGTAATTTTCCTGCGTCTGGTGTTCTTATGAATTTTTTTTCTTCTTTATTTTAATTCTACAAATGGAGAAAATGGGTCATGGAATCATCTTTTTTTTTTCATTCATTCACTTCGTGAATAATACCCTATTAAGAAAGTTGAGGTATTAGATTTGACTTATGTTAAGAAAGGTTAAGGTAGACCTAAAAAGAATTGGTTATAAAATATTAGAAATGATCTTTCTTTATTAGATTTAAATGAGAATATGACTTTTAACTGGACACTGGCGAAAAAGGATTCATGTAGCCGACCCCATGTATTGGGACAAAGGCTTGATATTGTTGTTGTTGTTGTATTTATTGCGTGAATAATCATGCTGTGATGGGGTTTGATTCAAGTGAGGGGTTGATTGGGAGTTGATATGTTATCATACAATCTAGCCTTACAAGCACAAGTCTAATTGGGCGCCCTCCTGAAAACGGATTACTATTGAGAATAAAGTTGCAACCATAACAGTTGACAATGCAGCTTATAACACATTAGCAGTTAATATGTTGAAGACCAGCCTAGAATTTCACAAGAAGCATTTTCTAGGTGGTCGAATGTTTCATGTGCGTTGTTGTGCGCATATTCTTAATTTGTTGGTACAAGATGGAATTCATGAGATAAAAGATATTATTGAGAACGTTAGGGCCAGTGTAAAATTTGTTACAGCTTCTCAACAACATATATTATTGTTCAGTGAAATTGCCCAACAGTTGCACCTTCCCAAGAAGAAATTGATCCTAGATTGTGTTACAAGATGGAATGCTATATATGCAATGCTATCAACTGCATTAGAGTTTAAAAAAGTCTTCCCTAGATTTCAAGATCGAGATTCTTTCTATTCTACTTGTCCTACTGAGGAGGAATGGAGAAAGTTGGAAGATGTATGCTCATCTTTTGTTAGAGGCAGACCACTTTATGGAAAGAGAAAATATGAAACTTATATTAGAACAGATTACACTACTCATGTAGTAAAATCTGAGCTTGATGTGTATTTGGATGATGGAGTTTTCATCGAGGAAGAAAATCCAATAGTTCATTTTGATTGCTTAGAATGGTGGAAGGCTAACAATTTAAAATATCGTATTTTGTCAAGGATGGCTTGTGACATTCTTTCTATTCCAATTACAACGGTTGCTTCAGAAGCCACCTTCAGTGCCGGTGGAAGAGTTATTGATCAATATAGATCATCTTTAGGTACAGATACAGTGCAACATTTTATTTGTGGAAGTGATTGGTACCGTAATTTATATGATATAAAGATAAAAGTGAAGGTATGATAAGACAACTTTTAATACTAGTTGGTGAAAATTTTTCTTACAACTATTAATTTATTATATTACATCTTGCAGATTAGGGAGGAAACAAAGGAGATCTCATTGGTTTGATAAGGAGCATAATATTCTTCTTCTTTTTTTTTCTTGTGAAGAAAACTATTGTAATTTTGTTTAACGAGCTACTATATTTTTTGTACTTTTGACATATATACATGCTTTATTTAAGTTTTGGTTTATTATACTCTCCACTTCTATTAGCATATTGGTTTGAATTTCGTTATATGCTAAATATCAACATATTTTATTTTATATGATGTATTTGTTTTGATAGTGTGTTTTATATGGTGTATTTTTTTTTATAGTTCTGATAGAACCAATGAAGTCTTGCTACGAATGCAGAAGATAATCTTTCAGCTATCATAGCAAATGGAGAGAAATGCAACGGGTAAGCTTCTTTCGAAAATATATTCATATAAATTAATCATATTTTCATTTTAAATATACAACTGCTTTTATTATAAATTTCATTTCATGAACAAGAGACATTTCATATTTGTCCATGTTTGTTAGATTGTTTGTTAGATTGCTTGTTTAATAGATTGTTTGCTAAATATGTTTACAAACATAGCTTGTTAAGGTTTGTTTGTTTAAAGCTCGATAAGCACTAAAGGAATAAACATGAACCAAACATGAACACCCTTAAATTAAACGAACCAAACATGAACACCCTTAAATTAAACGAACCAAACATGAACACAAATAATAAAGCTCAAATCAAGCACGAATCAAACATGAACAAGCTAATGATAAACAAACTCAAACATGAACGATTGAACACTCACATACTCGACTCGGCTCGGTTGGTTTGCAGCCCTAGCTGCAACTCTGCAAGTCGAATTTCCCTTTAATTTTTTTTAGTATTAAAAAAACGACTCAAGAGCGTTTCGGGCCGTGGGCTCGTGGTATCTGGTTTGCGGTTCTCTGCTTTCTCTCTCAGTGATGGACGAGATTTCCGAATTCGATCTCCTCGTCGCGAACCAGCACCGCGAACTCATGGCCGCTAGCGCCGCCGAATCCGATCTTGACCTTGCCTTCCGTCTGCAAATGGAGGAAGCCCTCGCCGCGTCTGCCTCCGCCTCCCTCTCTCCTCCCTCTTGCTCCTCTTTTCCCGACGCCGCCGCTGGCCCCTCTTCTTCCGCCGCTGCTTCCATCAAAGCCGACGTTTCCCATGCCCTCGAACTCCAATCCCTCGAGCTCGACCATTACCAACTAGAACGCCGTGACTCCGAGCTTTGCGGCGCCGAACTGCGTCGCGTGGCCGAGGACCTTCGCTGCCGCGCACACGACGAGCGATTCGCTCGCGAGATCCAAGATATGCCAGATGAGGATTGGGATGAATATGGGGACAACTTTGAGCGCCCGATTGAGCTCCTTAGCGACCTAGAGGAGATGCCCTTTCGGCTCTACTTCAAGGGTATGGCCAGGGCAGAGCTCGTGCACGGCGCGTCGGTGCAACTCGCCGGGATTGGCGTGGCAATCTGCGATCCGAGGGGTGATTTATTACTGAAGATCCAGAAGCCGGTGCCTGCGGAGGGTGCAAATCGTGAGGCGCTTGATGCGAAGGCCCTGCTAGAAGGGCTCAATGCAATTGTTGTGTTGGGGATTAAGAATGTGAACATCTATTTTGAATTCCGGCCTCTTCTTAATCACGTGAGTTCTGCTGTGTCATGTAGAGAATTTTCTATCTGCCATCAATTTAGGGCATAAATAATTCTGTTTTTTAGTTGATTTTTGTAAGGTTAAAAAGTTTTGATTCCAGTCGGAGTGGTGGGGGTGGATGGGATGTTTTTAGAAGCTAGAAATTTAATAGTTTATAATACAAAGTAGAGGATTCATTGTCAAGTAGATTATCACCTAGCTATCTTTTAGTAGTCTTTTGTTTACTTCAGTTTGATTTTCCATGACTGCAATGTACCTCGAGCTGGTCGAGATTTACGTCCTATGCATTATTATTTCCGTTTTATACTGCTGAAATTTGCTTTAAATTTGGTGATGTTATGTCAAATTGTCAATGCATCAGTTGATAATATATAGTTCTTCATATTTAGCTATGTTAATACTTCTGTTGTATAAAAGATGCAAATAAGGTTTAAGTGAGAATGCCTTGATTATATACAACAGAATAAGGTCCCAATAATAACTTGAGCTGGTAAACTGAGAAATTTCGTCTTAACATATAAAGAGAAATAGAAGTTCGTCCTGGGATTATAGAGTCGTATTTGGGAGGTTATAAGCTAGGAAGATTTTTGAAGATGTGCCGGGTTTTACACCTACACGATTGTCAAAAGATTTTGAGTTATGAAGGAACTTTGTAATAATAAATTTATTTGGTGAATTCTAGATGGCAAAGGATACATATTAAGTTAATGAGTTTTGAAGGTTGAAACACACGTAAACTTTGATAGGTATGGAACTTTAATGGGAATTCTTAATTATTAGGTATGGGGTTTTAGAAAATTTATTTATTACTTCATTCTTTTTGTTCTTTTGCCAAACCTAGGGTATGTCCCTTTTCTTTTTTGATGAAGTGCATGATAACTTCCCATCTTTGGGAATTTTCTAATGTACAAGTAAATATAAAGGGACATACCCAGTGCATGATGCTCTCACCATTACCAAGTATAGGTGTGGATTCATGTGCATATCATTACAGTTACACAAGGTATAATTTGTACCTGTTGTGTTATAGGTAGCGAGACAATCAAGCCATTGTTCTATATGAGTGCTCTAAAACATACATATAGAAATAAAATTTAAGGCATTTGCTTCCAAAGAATTTCTCAAAATTTATTTGATATACAACCTATGTTTGAGTTCTTGTTAGTATTTTGCATGGGAAAAATGGAATCAATTATTCTGCTACTCATTTCCCCTGCCTTTAACGTTATGTTTTTTTATCTTGGGCTTTAGAGGAATCATTCCCCTTTATTGTTCATCTGGATATGTCATTTTTTTATAACTTGTATCTGATTATGCATTCTTCATTCATCTACTTGTGCAATTTTTAGAATGTTACTTTTGTCATGATTTTTGATTTTATGGTGTTCACTGCACAATCATATGATTCTTTGAACTTTGTAGTATATGTTATGTTTTGGGCATTACATGATCTTGAAGATTACAAAAGAGTGATTTAATCCACTTGCACCTCACGTGCCTTTTTTCAGCTTTCAAATAAGTAATAGTCCATGTTCCATTCTTCTCAAGTGCATCAATCTCATATTATACTGTCTTCTTCCACTATGAATTTTGTAATGCCTATTGTATTGTGCTAGGAACTTGGATATCATCAAGAGAAGTAGCAAATGTTCTGTAAGATGGTGATAACCCTTCATAAGTAACATAATTCCCAATTGGATGACTTTTACATCTTCTATCACCCCTTCCTCAATGCAATCAACATTGTAGAGTTATCAACGTTGGGAATTGGCACATCGCCATCCTTATTCGTATCTATGTTTTCTTTAGGTGAACTTGAAATTGAATCAAGATCTTATTTACATAATTGATGTGATCCGTGCTCTAGATTTTGTCTTTTCCTCCTAATGTAGACTTGGAAATTCTCATTGGTAAGAAAAAAAAAATTTATGGGCTGGACTGATGACTGAACATGCATGAGTGTGGATAAGTCTTATGTACTTTCTTTGGGCACAAGCACGGGTTGAGAATAACTTGGTGACTCTGAGTAAAAAAAAACTCGAGAGAGAACTTCCAAAAAAAAAAAAATTTTTACTTCCAAACTTGATGTTCATTCATGCTCTCCCCTTGAACATGAGATTTGAGATAGAAAAACACACGCTAAATAAAGAGACATCCATCATGGTGTAAAATATTTTGTTAGTTGGAGAATAACATTTGTACCCTTTTTTAAGTTGGAGAGTACCGTAGAAAAAAACTTATTGGCTCTAGGATCAAATTTATTACGGTGTTAATGATACATATGAATAAATGTTGTGCAACCAAATACCTTGAGTGGTAAATCAGACAAAGCTGCATAGGCGTGAGGCGTGAGCAAAATTTTTCAGAAGAAGTTGACATGGAGATTGAAAATTAAAGACTGTGGATGGCATATGATTGATCAAATAGGTAGATATGAGAATGACTTCCCCCCAGAAATAATTAGGAACATTAGAGGAAAACATAAGATACCAGGCAACCTCCAAGAGATGCTTATTCTTGCACCCAACCACTCTATTTTGTTGAGGGATCAACACAAGAACTTATGTGGATAATCCCATGGTTCAGTAGGTAGGTATTGAAACTACTAGTGAAGTATTATTGTTTGACTTGAGTACCTTAATTTTAGAGTTGAATTGATTTTGAACAATAAGATTGAATGTTTGAAAAATTTGCCCAACCTCATACTTTTCTCTTTCATAAGGAAAACTCAAGTAACCCTTGTATGATCATTAACAAATGCTACAAACCATTGAGTGCCCGAAATATTTTTCATCATTGATAGATCCACACATCACTATGGATCAAAGAAAAAGAAGTTGAAGGTTTGGATGAAATTTGAGGATATATAGTTCGACTATACTTTGTAATCTGACAAGTTTCACAATGAAAAGATGCAGAACTTTTATTGATAAATAATTTGGGAAATGATTTTTCAAGATACACAAAGCTAGGAAAACCAAGACGATAGTATAACAATATAATTTCACTATCTTTATTGATATTGGATTGGATACAAAATTGAGATACTCTAATAGACTCTGAGACTGAACACAACTTGCTTGAGAAACTTGGTTTGAGAATCGGTCACATGGGAGGAGATAAAACCCGGAGCACAATTCAGCACTGCCAATCATCTTCCTCGATTTGAAGTCCTATCAAAACACACAAGTTTAGATAAAATTTTATAACCCATTGAAAGTATATGATAAAGTTTCAAGAGAAGTGCTATGGAGAGTTCTAGAAAAGAAATGTGTTAATAATGCTTATATTCAAGTCATTAAGAATATGTATGCAGGAGCTGTTACTTGCAAACACAAGGTGGTTTGATCAAGTATTTTCCTATTTCAGTTGGATTACATGAAGGATCAACCTTAAGCCCATATCTTTTTGCTTTAGTCTTGGATGTTCTCACAATGTCACTAGACATTTGCAAGAGGTTGTACCCTGGTGTATGCCTTTTGCTGATAATATTCTTCTTGTTGATAAGATTAGAGAGGGAGTTGAATGTAAACTTGAATTATGGAGGTCAACCTTAGAGTCTAAAGGCTTTTGTTTGAGTAGATCTAAAATTGTATATATGGAGTGTAATTTTTGTAATAATAGATTTAGTGGGGGGATTGTGACTTTGGATGATCAAGTCTTTAATAAGAGTAGATCAACATTGAATATTTGAATGCATCTTCCCTTATGGTCTACCCTTGTGGTCCGATCATCTGACAATAATTGTGGAGATAGTCAAAAACAACAAAGGCCTTGGTATGAATACTGCAAAAAATTAGGTCATTATAAGGAGACTTGTTGGAAGCTCCATGGAAAATCAGCTGATAGGAAACTAAAGCAGCGGTTTGATAGAGACAACAAAGCACATGTGACTTCCAACTCTTAGAGTGCTCCTGTTTTCGAGCCTAGCCCATTTAGCAGCAAAAACAAATGGATTTGCTACAGAAATTGTTTAGTCAAATTGGCGGAGTTAACATTAATGGGACAAGTTTTGTTAATCAAACAGATTCATATGCTACCTTCACTACTAAAAAAGGAGACATGAGGTCGTGGATAGTCGACTCTGGTGTTTATCTCCATATGATATGAGATGCTACCATTCTCCAAATTTACAAGCCTAGTAGTTGTAATAACTCATATTTTGACCGAGTCAAATAAATTTTTTCAAGAGTTAATATAAGTCTAAATCACAAACCATCTTTGTCAAAACATAGATATTATAGTGATTTAATTACACTAATTTTTCCCTAATTTTTTGTCGCGGGTGCAAATCCTTAAGTAATTGATATATTCAATTTTAAATCGTTAGTTGGATGTTGCTTCAATGATATAAAATAACCCTTCCTCAATGCCATTTAAGTTGTGTCAATGATGAAAATAGGAGAAGAATCACTGCCAGCAAGGTCTGGACTTTCTGATTTGCTTCCTAATTCTGGTGTCGTGATGTTGGATGTTTATGATAAGGCTATTTTGTATTGGGAAGAAGACACGAGGGAGAAGAGTGAATAAGGCTGTTGGAAATATATAAGAAGAGGGCCAGGACGAATCTGCTAGAGAGAGGCAGCTGAAGGGATTAGGGTTCAGAGAACTAGCTCTGATACCATAAAGAATTTCTTAATTGATTATTCTTCTTATTTTAAATAAAGGTACTACATCTACATACACATGCATACTAACTAAGTGTCTAATAAAGGAAATAACTAGCTAGCTTAATTTTCTCCTAAATTTTATATAATTATAAGAGAATAATTCTTTCCTAAAATTAGGAAGCAGAATCATAGGAGAAGATCACAATTTATCTCTCATTTTATTCTTAAAATTATAACATAATCATAAGAGAATATTACAATTGATCTCTCCTTTTATTCTTAAACATATTTTCCTAAAATTAATTCCCTAACTTTGACTTTCAAATATTCAACAAGATTTCATTTAATGATAGCTAATAAATCAAATGCAAGCTTGATCTTGATCTATGATGTAATGCTATTATGATAATAAAATATAGTTTCAATATTTGTCTTTGTCTCTCATATATGTTTGTAATAACATCAATATTTCTTTCATCCAATCTTTTTTCTTCATGCTCGCCTAGAAATGCTCTTGGTATTCAATCATTCTTTTCAGTCATACGAAGATGTTTGGTAGTGCTTCTTAGCCTTATATAATTGCTTCTGTACAAAAATCACCTTCATGACGAAATGTTGGCATAGAATCAAATTAATTATTGATCCCATAATAATTTTTCTTGCTTTAGCTATAGGAAGTTCTATTTACTTTTATTCATTACTTTGTGAACGACATGAAAAACATCTATCTAGATTTTTTTTTTTTCCGATGCATTTACTTTTTGATTTTGGTAATATTATGTCTGTCATTTAAAAATCGTGTGGCCACAAAGGTACACAACCCTCCATTTGTTGTTAAAGAAGTGGCAAACGTTGCAAGTTGATTGTGTGAATTTTCTTGAATACAAATGTATATTAGGCTCTTAACTCAAAATTTCCTTCTGGGAAGTGTTAGCATCGAACATTTTTTGTCTGATGGCTATGTATTTCATTGTCCTTCACAGGTTATAGGGAAATGGAGAGCAAAGCAACAGAAAATTGTTAATTTAGTTAATCAGGTGCAACTACTGCGAAGAAAGCTTGATAGATGTCAAATGTTCCTGCTGCCAAGGGGGCATGTCAAATTTGTTTTTAAGCTGGTCAGGGATGTGATAGATTCTCAAATCACAAAAGGTGGCGATTTGATTAAGGCAAAAACAAATAATAATCTGATGGAAACATGCAATATCTGCCTAGAAATCACGGACTGTTCTCAAATTTTTAGTATTGTTGGTTGTGGACATAGATTCTGCTTTTCCTGTATGCGGCAGCACGTGGAAGTTAAGTTACTGCATGGAATGCTCCCTAATTGCCCCCATTTGGGCTGCAATATTAAGCTGGAAGTTGAAAGTTCCGGCAAATTCTTAACTCCTCGGCTACTTGCGATCATGTGCCAACGAATTAAGGAAGAATCAATTCCTCCAAATGAGAAAATTTATTGTCCTTATCCAAGGTGCTCAGCTCTAATGTCAACGAGTGAAGCAATCTCCCCACTGCTCTATGCCTCTGTAGCTGACAACGCTGGACTTAGAAAATGTATTAAATGCAGTGGATTATTTTGTATTAATTGTAAAGTCCCGTGGCATGAGAGAATGTCATGTTCTGATTATAAGAGATCAAATCCGCACCAACGTCCTGAGGATCTCAGACTACATTCACTTGCAAAACAAAAGTTGTGGCGCCAATGTGTGAAGTGTAAACATATGATTGAACTGTCTGAAGGATGCTTTCATATGACTTGCAGGTATCGATATTGCCTTGGCCTTTCTTGATGTTTCTTTCGTGCGTAGTTGTCAACATCATAATTTGCATTACCCCAACCATTTAGTCTTCGTTTGGGACGACTTTTTTACTTTCTAGTATAAAAATTATTTTTTTAGTACTAGAAAGCTACTTAAAGAAGCAGCAAAAAAGCCGTACCAAACGAAGCTTTAGTGACTGTTTTAAAGCGTTCTTCTTCTAATGTGAAGAGCTTTTAATTATGATGTTGCTAGGCAGTCTTTTTTTTTTTATTGCTTCACATTCTTGTGGTGACTGCACACTAAACACTAAGATACGTCCATCTGGTTGAATTTCTTGAATGCACCCTATTGATGAATGGAATTTAAGCATTTAAAAAAAGATTGTCTGGAACTGAAAATACATAATTAATTTTCTATTCCTTGCTTATGTTTCTCTATTCTTCATTCCTGTTTTATATTTTGTATTCTTGTTCCAGTAAATTTTTTGTATCTTAATAAGTTCTATTCTTGCAAAATGAGGTTTTATGTTTGCAAAAGCTTTGAAACACAAGGATGATGTAGGAGGGCGACACTAGGCAATGTTGACAAGAATTATAAAGGTGCACCGGGTGCAAAAGACCCACTATTTTTTGGGGTTTTGGGGTGGGATGGAATGTATGAAGCATTACCCATTACTTCGCCAAGATACAATTTTCTATTACGAACTTATGTATTGGATCTCCTTGCATGCCAAAAAAGTAGTTATAAATTGTGAGGGGATATAATTATCTTAGCTTACCCCCAAGGACACAAGCAGCTAAGTCATTTTTTAGGTTGAAAACCCAAAAAGGGAGAGCTATTAGACTAGTCCAACTGTCAAATTTTCAGTATTGATTTCATCCCACTTTGTGGAGATGGATTGTAATAACCTGTATCGGTGATATCCAGTTCTAACATTTTTGACACCTGGAGTCATGAAGGAGACCAAGACTCGAAAATGAGGAGTTGAACCAAGTGTCAGTTATGTTGCTTGAAGACGAAGAAGACGAAGGAGATGAAGAGCTTGTCGGGTTCGCCTCATTGAATTTGGGAATATGATAGAATTGTAGTCGGTTCATTCTCTCACGAGGAGTCAAATTGAAGGTTTTCATCTCCTTATAAGCACACGAGAAAGGGAGATGGGGAGAGACAGAGAAAGAGACGGGGAGAGAGAAAACTTGTGAATTGCAAGTTTGGGCTAAGTGTTCTTACATGGAACAGGCGAGCGGACTTGCAAGCTTGAACAAGTGAATAAAAGAGCGATTAATTGAGGGAGAAAATAGTGGGGAAGGAACCAAGTAAAGTGATTTTTTAACAAGTTATTATATTTATTATTTAAATATTGTATTTTAGTTTATGTATATTAAATCTTGAAATTTATTTAGAAATTTTGGAAGGTTATAATATAATTTTGAGAATGTTTATTATATATGGAGAGAGAGAGAGAGAGATTTTACATATAAAAAAATAATTATTTAAGATTTTAGTTATATAAAAAGTAAATTACAAAATGGACAAAAAATTAATTACTATAAGTAGAGAATGTTTTGATAATTTTTAAACTATGATGATGAGGATGCCTTGCATGTAATTTTATGTGTTAAACTGATACAACAAAAACAACATCAAGCCTTTATCCCACTATATGGGGTCGGCTACATGAATTCTTTTTCTCCATTGTGTCTATTAAGAGTTAAATTCTCATTTAAATTTAATAAAAAAAAAAACATTTCTAATATTTTCTAACAAGTCTTTTTAGGTCTACCTCTACCTCTCTTAACATAGGCCAAATCTAATACATCTACTCTCATAACTGGGTCATCAGAATACCGACATTTTATGTGACCAAACCATCTAAGACGATCTCTCTAATCTTATATCATTGGAGCTACTCCAAACTTTTCACGTATATGCTCGTTTTGCATTCTATCTCTAAGAGTAAAGCTCTATTCAGCTCTAAGAGTAAAGCCACTTATCCACATGAACATCCTTATCTCTGCAACACTTAAATTAATTGTATGCTTCTCTTTGAATGACCAACATTCTGCGCCATAAAGCATTGCAGGTCTCATCACTATCTTATAGAATTTTCCCTTAAGTTTGAGGGGTACTTTCTATCATACAGGCCCGAAGATTTCCTCCACTTCAACCATCCAACTTGAATTCTACTATTAATATCCTCATCTATTTCATCATCACTTTGTACAGTAGAACCAATATATCTAAAATGTATACTTTTATTAATGACTTAATCGCTCAAAGTCACAATTCCTCCATTAGATCTATTACTGCTAATATTACACTCAATATATTTGTTTTTAGATCTACTCAAACAAAAAACTTTAGACTAAAAACAAATATTTTGGATTTCACCTTAAACTTTAGACTATATATATATATATATATATATATATATATATATGTTGTACTTATTAGTATCTAATCTATTATATTAATCTTTATAATTTTTTTTATCGCATATTGTTTTCTTAGACTCCTTATGGGGTCTTTTTATATGTTTCCTAATTTTTTCAAGTTTTTACTTCTAAAATGATTTTATAACAAAGCTTTTTTTTTTTTTTACTTTTTTTTCACATTTTGATTTCACTACCAACTATTTTTACTATTAAGATATTTTTATTTTGATACTTGAAGCACATCTTTGCAACAATTTTAATATCATAGCTATTTTTTCCCTCATAACATTAGTTTCTTCATATACTGCCAAATTCTTAAGATCTTGAATCTTACTCTCAAAATTTTGTTTGTTTGTGTTATTTAAATGCCCATTTAATCCTAAGAGAATTTTTTACTTTATTTTCATATTCTGCCATCATCTTAAAGTCCAAAACTAACAAGAGATGTTGAGTACATAAATTTTTTATCAGAATAACTTTACAATCGTTGCAATATAAACGATCTATTTTTCTTATAAGAAAATAATCAATCTAAGTTTTTCTATATCCATTTTTTATATGTGATGAGATGCTTGTCTCTTTTTTATATAAGATGTTAGCAATTATGAAATCATGAGAAAAATTTAATATAGTCCTACCAACTTCATTAGTCGTTCCACGAAAAACCTCTCGGAAAGAAGTTGAATCAAAGAAGTGAACGAAATGGGACATTACAAGCTAACATTATAGCAATCCAACCCATCCTAGAAATGTGATCCAGAATAAGAGAGCTCAACAAAGAAGATATTGATAAGCTAAAACAACTGATATCCCTTGGAAAACCACCTCCATCATCATCTCTTTCAATTTCAGGTAAGTTTCTTATATCCATCGGATTAAGTATCCCTAGAAATCATTTGAAAGATTTATGGATCATTGACTCAGGAGCTACATATCACTTGACACTCCATTACCCACTTCATCGACTACACTCATTGCTTGAGTGATAAGAAAATCATCACTGTTGATGCTTTTCTTACCACAATAGCAGGCCAAGGAGACACACCCTTGTCTCCCTCTAAAAAATGTGCTCCACGTACCCCAATTATCCACAAACATAATCTCCATACAAAAATTTAACAGTAATCATAATTGTCAAGTCCTATTTAACCCTACTTATTTATTTCAGGAGTAGAAATCGGGGAAAAAGATTGAACTTGCTAAGGAGAAATATGAGTTGTACAACTTGGAAGAGCTGAACAAACTATTATCAATAATGACTATTCCATGTTATCCCTATCAATAATGGTTTTATCATTTTAGATTAAGACATTCATTTTTTGATATATTAAAAAACATATATCTAAAACTTTTTATGAGTTGAAAAATGAATCTTTTTATTATGAAACTTGTGAGTTAGCCAAGCATAAACGAGTTTCTTTGTCAAATAAAAATAAGAAATATCATATTTCCTTTCTAGCTTATTTATAGTGATATATGAACACCCTAAAAAATCCTAACATTTCAGAGGCTCGATGGTTTGTATCCTTCATTGACGACTGCATTCGAGTTTTTGGTTCTCACTCTTCAAAAATAAATCCGATGTTAGCACTATACTCTTCATTTTTCACAACATGATCTAGAACCAATTGGGTGTGAAAATAAGGAAATTTCATTCCGACAATGTCAAAGATTACTTTAATCAAATCATATCCTCCTATTTTCAAAAGGAATATATCATTCATGAGCCTTCTTGCATTCACACCCCACAACAAAATGGACTTGCAGAAAAAAATGGTCATCTTCTTGCATCCACCAGTGCACTTCTTTTTTCACCACAATGTACCCAAATACTAGTGGGGGAAGCCCTTCTGACTGCCACATATCTCATAAACCATCTACCTTTAGGAATCTTAGAACTAAAAACACCAATGGATATCCTATCCTCATTTTACCTTGAATTTTGAACTCATAACAACCTCACACGCAGAATCTTTGGGTGCACTGCCTATGTTCACCTTCACAACCAAAATATATTAAAATTATGTCCAAGAGCACTTAAATGTATCTTTGTCGAATATTCATCCACTTAGAGATGTTATAAGTGTTATCATCTCTCCACCAAGAAAACCCTTAGTAGCTCAATAAGATCATTCCTTGAGATGATTATTTTTTTATCCTCTTCAATTTGTTTGTTGAAAGTTCTGAGTTGCTCCGTTTTCTTGTCATCAATCATTCGCATCTTCAACTTTCTCACCCTAGAATCACTACCGCCCCAATAGCTTTTTCCTCCTCCAGTGTAGCAGTTCGCGTAATCCCTCCATGTTTACCCCGTGTATCAAGGGTGGGAATCCCACATTTCTTCCCTTCCCTTCACATGACCCGATCCCCATGATTCGGCCCGTCCCCCTCCTTCTATGGTCGTCCACTCTCCTTGCCCAAAAGACCTCCCGTTGTGGTCAGCCACCCCACCATCTTTACCACGAAACTCCCTGTTGTCCCCCCATCTGAAAACCTTCTATCCTTTCTTGGAGCCCTAGGAGGCCCGCTCCTTGTCCGACGACCAACTCCCCTTGCTTGAAATGCTGTTGGTCGACCACCCTACCAGCTCCATCAAAAAATTCCCTTGTTGTTGTCCCCTCATCTGGAAACCTTGATCCGTCTCTTATCGAAGCCTCAAGAGATGTCTTTTGATGAAGGAAACTCTCCATTGAACTCCTCCAATTCGATCTCCTTTCCCTTCAATTCGGCCAAAGGAATCCCGATCAAATCTTAATTAGAGTTAGCTATCGAAACCACCGGTGAAGTTTTTGATTGCATCTCCAAGAGTTTTCTTATCATTTCCTCCATCCCTCACAATCGGTTTTTCATGGATGAAAGCCTTCCTTCCATGGATGAAAACCTTTCTTTCATTGTTGAAAATTTCTCCTTCATGCATGATTTGAATTGCTCCAATTTTCCTTTCAGCGCATCCACCCTCTTTGACGCCATCTCTCCAAAATCTCGCTTTGATACCAATTTTATATAGCTTGACATAAAAATAACAAATTGAAGAGAAGAACAACGTAGGAACACCAATATAGGGCTGATTTTCTTATTTCTTCTTCAATAATAAAGCAAGATACAATTGATCTACTATTCGAGAGGTAGATCAGCTCTGCCACAAACCGTAGATGCCTCTAGAAACTCACGAAAAACACTAGGAAAATAAACTCTAGGAATATCATACTGTAAATTGTAGAGAAATTCCCCCTTAAATAGACACAATAACACAATTAGAACATTCATAATCAGTATAAACATAATTTAGAAAAACTTTCTAAATAAATAGAACCTTCCTAATTAACATAAACATAATTTAGGAAACCTTATTAAATAATTAAAATGATTTAGGAAATATTCCTAAACAATTAATCATAATTTAGAAAACTTTCCAAAACAATTAAACATATTTTAGGAAATATTGATAAAAATTAAATACTTCCTAAATAGCATAAACACAATTGTAAAGCCAGGTCGGCCAAGGAAAATAGAGCTCTGATCTAGCAGTCTAAGTGCAATGAGCACCCAATTCTTAACATTAATCAATATAGGTTTGACTATGTTATTTATAGGTTTGACTATAATCAATATAGGAATATTCTTAACATTAATTGATGTTTATGTGGAGCGGATTGGGATGATCATCCCCTCCTTGCCATTAAAATTTAGACATAATTTGGTCAGATGGGCCAACCTGATAGATTCGCTTAAATCCTCACCTGATTAGACAATTAGCGATGAAATTTCAACCCTCTACGCTGTATAAAGATGGATTTCGTTGGTCTTCTTAGTAAAAATTTCGTTGCCTGCAGCAGCTTCAGAACTATATACTGATTCAGCAGCAGCTTCAACTTTATTTTTTTTGAGATAAATGCAATGTAAATTTTGATTGATTAAGCTTATATATTATATTGAAAATAAGCTTAATTATTCCCTCAACTTGTTCTAATATGAAACTTCTTTGTATCATTTATGCAGGTGTGGATACGAGTTTTGCTATACATGTGGTGCTGAATGGAAAGACAAGAAGGCAACTTGTTCTTGTCCACTGTGGGATGAACAATACATTTGGTATGATGATTCAGAAGAAGAAGAGTCAGAAGATGATTACTATGATGATGATGATGACTTTTATGATGATGATGATGATGATGAATATGATGATGCTTTTTAAGATCAAGGCTTCCATCATCATGATTTCTGAACTCTCAACGTTGGCATTTAAAGATGAGGTTGATCAAATTCCATACTTTTGTATTGTCTGAACTCTAAGTCTTCGAAGCTTTTTCTTGTCTTTAAACCTTTTGTAAATTTAGTCTGGACTGTTCGGCCTTTGAACCCGCTACAATGTCTAACAATACTATGGGTCGGGCGATTTTTCTTTCACCACAGCGACATCCTCATTCCTGAATGCTCAAGTATTGTGTTATCGTCTTGTTTTTGGGTTATTTTGGCGATTGTGCTTTAGATTATAGTTAAATTATCACGAGGGTTTGACGACAGGGTTTGGGGCTATTTGCAAATTCAGGAATATTTGTGTACTGAAATTAACATAGTAATTCACTCATTTGTGGAAAAAAGTTGGCAAGTTGATCATGATTGATTTTATTTTGAGATATCACAGATATTTTCATTGATTAATTATATATAAATATGATGGTTAATATAATTGGTACTCTGCAATGTGAAATATGTCCGCACCAAATTTTTTTGGGACAATTAGGATACATAGGATACATATATTATATACGTAAGATTTGAATCTAATACCTCATAGTGCTAGTTAAAGTTATAAACTAATAAATCAAGGGTATAGTACCAAAATTTAACATAGTTGAAGAAAATTTTTATATGATAATTTTTTGTTACTCAGTTTTGATTAAAAATGGGCATTTTAGTTATTAATTTATTTTGGGATGAGTTTAATGCATGTTTTAGTATATATTATAAAATTTTATCATGGTTGATTTAAACTAAGATAATCTCACCTAAATTTCTCCTAATTCAAGAATAATTGTATTGGATGTTCTAATGACTAATAAACACTTATTTGGTAAGGATTACTAAATGATAGACGTATTAGCCTCCCATTTTTTTTTGTGAAAGTAGGTGTCGAAATAAATATTCAAATATAATAGGAACAACTAGAACAAATAATAATAATAATAATAATGTATTTTAAAGCATATTAGTTTAGATACAACTCATTTTGATTTATTGATTAAATGTTTAGACTATCAACTAAGAAATCTTAAGTTTCAATACTATATATATCATATTTGTATGAATTTATCTTAATTGATCTAAAATTTTCTATAAAAAAAAGGACACATTAGCTCAGTTGTAAATCACGCAATTGATCTCAGCTCAAATTAATCCGCATCAGCAGGATCCAACACATCACACATTTGACATATCCAAATAGTGTTATTATGAGCTAAAAGAATTATGTTAGATAACCTAACCATAATTAAATAAAAAAGAGCCTCGGTTCTTTTCTTTATTTTAAAATAGATGTAGAACATTAATAATTAATCAAAGTTTGCATTAATACTTATCTTCATTGCTTATCAGCTATAATAAAATTATCAAAAGTCTGAGGTCAAATTTTGGCTAATTTATAAATCACAGATCACTTTTTGAACCCAACCTTTTTACTTTTCAATAACCTTTGCCATACATAGAACATTATATATAGCCTTGCCACATAAATACCTGAATCATTCATTTGAAATAGCACAGCAACTTGAAGCAGCCAATATACAGGTTTATAAATGGCATCAGCAAAGGCAGCCAATAAAGTATCAGCAAAAACTGTATACAGTTCAGGGCTTTTAATCCATCACAATATGCTTTCAAAATGGATTTAGAGATGAACAAAAAAAATGCTCCTGCAGTACACACAGGAGACTACCTTTACAAAGTCATTGAAGAGAGAGAGAGAGAGAAACCATCAGGAAATTTTTGTCTCTCAACAGAAGATACAAAATTTCCCCTCTTTCTAAAAAAAACCATCAGGACAAAACTCAAGACTATAATCCTAGAAAAAAAAAAACAACAAATGGGGAGCTGATTATGTTAAAAACTTCTCAGATCCGTACGGCTTGCATCCTATAAATTAGGGAGATCTACATATATACCACAAATTTTTTGCATATTTACATATTTAGCACAAGTCTTATTATTTATTTATATAACATCAGTTTTAAATCACATCAACAAAATTTGCATGAAGATTTATATTCCATTTTAGATGAGTGAGTTAATGTTAGTGATATTTTTGAGGTGATTTAAAGATGAAGTGTTATATAAATAAATAAATAAAAATTTAGATGGCATATATGTAAATTCCTAAAAATTTAGTGGCATGAATGTAAATCCCCCAATAAATTATAAGTTATAGGTGATAGAGGCTTGATTGTCAATTATTCTAGGAAGTCTGATCAGTATCAGCCTGTCCAGCCGTAATCATAGCCTTCTTTGCTAACTCATAGCCTGCAAAGTTCATTGCACCCAGAGGAGCAATCCAGAAGAATCTTGGTAAAGCTCCCTTGAAAAACCCTAATGGTCCTTCTTGCCGGAGAATGGAGACGGCGACCATCTGCATGGAAGCAGGCTGGCCCTGTGGAGCAGTCATCATTCTCGTCTTCATCACATCAAAAGGATTTGTAATCACAGCAGAAAGCCCACCAGAAAGAGCTCCAACTGCGATAATCTCCCATGGCTCAAGATCACGGTTCAGAAGACTCTGAGCAGCCTGGTAATATCACATATATTCATAAGTATTCATGTAAACCAGGATTTTGGGCTTAGATATATATCAGATATTTTTAAGAACATCATTAGAAATCTTGTATAAATGGACTAAAATATTTAAAAAAAATTAAAATGAGGACATAATTCAAAGCAAAATCTTGTATTTCATTATGATAGACAAATTAAAAATTACTACAAGTTTATTAATTTATTTTGCATTTTTTTATAATGTTACATTACAACTTCATTAGGAATCAAATCGAACATATCTTTTCAATGTAAGGCACAAGACAATCGTTGAGTCAATCATCACCCATTCTACTACACAAACGATATTTGATAATGCTCATAGCAGATAATATTCTCTTCACTGTAGCAGTAGCAACTGGTAAAGTAAATGCTAAAGTAATAAGTCAGTAAACCAGAGGGTACACACAATCTTTCTTTACCTTAATAATTTGCTTTACAAGATCAACAATACTGATTAGAGAAGAGAATTCATCATCGGTATACATAGTAATAATATAAGTTGATAATTGACTTTTAAGAGCTACAAGGTCAATTATAGAAAAATCACTTGGATATAATTATGTTAGACGTATCAATTTTCTCTCACCAAAAACAAGGAATCAATTGAGTTTAAGAATGCCGCACAAAGAAGCAACTCAGCACTAGATTCAGAAAAGAGGCTATTTAGCTTTTGAAATTGCATGTCAACTACAGTGTAGATAGTTGTGTTGTCTGTCATTATACAACCCAGTTAAATATTTATTACAGACTCTACTTATAGGGGTCTTTAAGTTCTGGCTTTCAGGTAAATTTTGGACTTAACCTTTATCAGGTACATCCTCTTGATCCACCTCCTTTAACTGAACCCCACAAGCCAAAAATATAACCTAAGTCTAATCAACTACATTAAAAAAGAAAAGACTCAAAGCTGCAACAGAAAGCAGTTTATAATAAGCATGCAACATCCACTTAAAGCGTCAAACACCTGCTTCTACCCTATTGGTATCATCTCTTTTGGAATTAAGCAGCACCTGTTACACAAGTATTTTATATTTATGATTTATTTGCACCCCCTACTGGACATGACCACCTACAAGAAGAACATGTATATATTTATACACTATCCACCTATGTTGTACCGATACACTTATTTATGAAGGCGTGCTGTATCTGATACACCGATACATGGATATACCTCCGATCGCCAATTCGCCACTGATACGTGTCGGATACGCCAAAGCCGTATCCAGTTAAAATACTATTTAATTTCAAAAGGACACGCGTGTCCGTTGAAAAACAAAAAGAAAAAAAAAATAAATAAAGACATTGTATTTACTTCCGCGGCTGCGAGCAAGGTTCTCTTATTTTTGAGATGGATTTGAGTATCTTGAATATATGGTAATATTAGAAATTACTAATCTTTCATTTAATGGTCTGAATTAGAAGCTATAATATTTATTGAAGATGATATAGAAGTTCAAAGACAAACCACTGAAGAAGCTAATCATATCATTCCTTCTATTAAATAGTTGAAACATCATGTGCTAGATAATTTATGTTTATGCTTTTGTTGTTGTATTAGACATTTGATGCTTACTTATATTTTGATATTATAAGCTACAAGGCTACAAATGATATTGTTGTCATTTTTTTTTGTAATTTCAAATATTATGCTTTGATTGTTTTCTTAATTTTTATGTATGATTTATAAATATAATGTCGTGTCCGCGACTCCGCGCCATACCCGTATCCTGTATTTTTAAGAATTGACGTGTCCCGTATCCGTATCGTGTCATATCCATGTCGTCGTATCAGTATCGGTGCAACATAGCTATCCACTTAAGGGCAAGTGCCCACAACGCAGATAATCCAAAAGCAATCACAACAAATCATCAACCACATGCGTAGACAAAAAAATCCTAATCCTAGCATGCTTAGGGGTTGTGGATCTAAGTGTGTGAGGCTTGTGTGGCATATCACTGGTAGAGGTATTTCACTTAGAGTTTGGGTCTAAGGGAAAGGTATCCAACATTAGTTTTTTAGGCTAAGTGTTGAAGAACTCTCCTTAGCTTTTGGAGCTAGAGAGAAAGGAATGAAACTCATATCTTGGTGGATAAGAGTTGGAAATTCCTCTAAGGCTTTTGGAGCCCATAAAGAAGAGGGATGACTTGTAGCTTTGAGGCTACAAGTCAAGAGGTCTCTTTGAATTTTTGTGTTCAAAGAGATGGATATATTTGTTTAATTTGGGTTAGGCAAATGAAAGATGGTTCACCAATCGATTTTGGCTCGTAAGGTAAGGGAGATTGATTTGCAATTGGGGCTGCAAATCAATCAGAATTATCATTGAATTTTATACTCAATGATAGATAGAAATGCTCATAGTGGTTCATAGAGCTGCAAATAAACCAAGTGTTCGACAAGCTACTTGTGGGTCAGCTCGATAAGAGCTCGTTCATGTTTATTTGAACACTTTTGATAAATACTCAATAACTAAATAAACGAGCTTAAACAACTTGGTGCTCGGTTCGTTTATGTTCATTAACAGTATCGTTAAACGCTCATGAACAAGCTCGTTAAGAAGCTCGATTAGAGCTCAACTAAGAAGCTCAATTAAAACTAAATTAGAATTTTAAAATATATATATTGTTAAATTTAATAATTTTTTTTACTAATCCCATCTAAAATTGTTTAATAATTTATTTTTACTTCCCACATCCACCTACAATCACAAACAACCCGCTCTCTAAACAAATATAAGATGAATCATAGATCATTTGTTCATGAAAGAGCTTAATTGGCAACTCAAAAATACTAATTAGATATGTTCATAAACAAGCTAATTTGACATCTCAAGAATACTCATTGTATGTGTTCGTGAACGAGCTTTTTTGATAGTTTAAAAAACTTCGCAAGATACGTTCACGAACAGACTCGATGTAATTGTTTGTTAGAATGTTCGATAAGGCTCGTTTGTGAAGTAAATGTACATCTAAAAGTAAAGCTCGTTTATAGCTCGATAAGACTCATTTGTTTAAAGCTCAATAAGTACGAAATAAATTGAACATGAACCAAACATGACACTCATTAATTTAAACGAACCAAGCTTGAACACAAATAAAAAAGCTCGATTCAAACTTGAACCGAACTTGAACAAGCAGATAATAAATGAACTCAAACATGAACACGCACATACTCGGCTCGACTCGATTCGTTTGCATTATGGGTGTCAATTTCGGGTCATGGGTCGGATTCGGGTCGAACCCGAAACTAACCCGGCACTATTCGGGTCAACCCGAACCCGACCTGTTTATGCAAACGTGTCAGTTTTTCGGACGCGAACCGACCCGCTTCGAGTCCGGGTCAACCCGACCCGAATGACTCGGGCCGGACAAAAAAATGCTAGTTTTAGGGTCCAAAAATGGGTCAAACTCCATTTTCGGGTCAAAATGGATCAGAACGGGTCAAAAAAGGGTTTTCGGGTCAACGGGTCAACTCGAACCCGACCCCATTTTTGAAACGGGACGAATTGTCGAACCCGACCCGTTTCGGGTTCGGGTCAACCCAAACCCTAAATTTTCGGGTCGGGTCCAATATTGACACCCCTAATTTGCATCCCTACTAGTTTGAAATACCAACATGCATATTATTACTATATTTATTATATGTTCGAACTTTATATTAGAATTGTTCATCGTTTTGAGTGTTTAGCTCATTAGGTATTACAATGATTATTTTTACAAATAGAAAGGAGCAGGTGGGACCATGGATAAGTGACCCAACTTATCTTATAACCTATATCAGAACTTATAATCTTATTATGGATGTTTGTATAATTTTGAATGTAATATAGAAAACGATGTACATAATATAAATTAAAGACTTCTAATATGTATAAATTTTCTATTAAAGTAATAAGATTATATTTTGATAATTTAAATTACACACACTTACATATCTATAATTATGATGAATTCATTGAAGAATGAGAAAGATTTTATGACAATCTAGTCAGATAAATTTCTACTCGCTCGATTCTAAGTTGAAAAAAGGTAGAATATGAGTGGGTGAGAAATGTGCCTATCAAGATTGTCCGCCTTTATTACACCTCATGATTGATTAGGGGAAGGTCAAAATGGGTGTAACATAAACTACTATGAATAAGAATAAGAATTGCATGAATCGAACCTGGTAGCTTATAGAGCCAATGCTATAACTTGGTAGTGCAATACTTTAACAGTTTACCATTGTAAATAATCAATCTTCCACTAACAGACTCTACAAAAATTTTCTCGGCTAGCCAGTCATTTCAGTTTCGTATGCCACCTCTACTGTAGCAAACGGGTGAGCATATTAAGCTTACAGTTTTTGGTGCATTATGGTTCACTTTAAATTTTGCCCAAAAAAAAGCAAGCATAAACAAATAAAACGAAACACATTATAGATTCAATATTTTAGAACGTTAAAAAGCTCAATACGCAAAAATTTAAAAACTAGGATCTCTCTCTTATGAGTAAAATACCTTTTTTGCTTCAGCATATAGACCCATCCCAGCAACATAAAAGGGTACCTCACGGCAAAGTGTAGCACCAGTTCCTCTAAAGAATCCTTTCAAACCATCCTGCTGTAAGGTACCCACAATTGCCTCTCCTACATTGTCAAAAATACCTGCCTGTAAACGTTGCTTCAATACCTCACATGGAATTCTGACTGCTGTTCCAAGGACCGTACTGCAAAAGGATGCCATAGATTGCACCTGAAGGATAAGAAGGCTTCTTAGGCAGGAACACGCACGGCATGCTCATTTCTACTTAAATACCATAAAATCGTCACTTTGTAACATTACTGCACATCCCTTTACACTGATTTTTCATTTAGGAATAAAAAAACCAATCAAGGGAAGAATTACAAAATGACATTTTTATGATAAAAGTGGAATCACAGAATTATAAGATGACAACTTGACAACTGAAAATTTTTCAGAGTGGAATCCATGGAACTACAATTACCTGAATATCAGGAAGAGTCGGTGCAACATTTACCAGGATCAGCTTGCTTGCTTCAAAGATGCCAGTTCTTAGTCCATGGCTGTCAATTAGGAAAAAGTTGATGCACATTGATGGCCTAATCAAAAGCTAAACAGTGAAAGATTGCGAACCTTGAAAATTGCCCAAGAACAGCAGGGATAGAACCTCTGTACAATCCTCGAATCCCGATTTCAGGAAGCTTTGACACAAGTTCAGGGAATGAAAGGGTGGATGCTTGTACACGTGTCTGATAAAAAAAGGTAAATCCATTATACAAGATACCATAAAAGAAGAATTATCATAATAGAACTATTGAATAATAACATTACTAATTGACTTTATTCTAAAGATTTAAAAAACAAAACTAGAGTCTGCATTTTTTCTCTAATTTTTGCATTGCGAGAATTGAAAAAAAACAAAAACAAATAAAGTTTAACAATACAAGATAATTAATTTGATATGCAAGTCTTGAAACAATGTGATCTTCCATGATAACAGATGGATTCATTAAATAAACAATTCAACTTTAATTATACAATAATAAACAATGCAAAGTAAGTGACATTCAACTTTGCAGTTTACTCTTGACCGGGAATAAGAAATATCGCAGTAACATTATATAAGTTATTTCCCCAAAAAAACATTATATAAGTTAACTTTTTAGCATCCTTCATATCATGTTAATTACGATGCATGATCAAATTTTCCTTCGAATTTAATTATTTCTTTAAAATTAGCATAGAATCATATCTTGCATTTGGCTTAAGAAGTTACAAAAAAGCATTAACCCTAACCTGAAACCAACACTTGAAATCTCTACAAAAACGCCTTTATAGAACCATGTAATTTAGTTTACATGTACTATTCTAAAATTTACAGTCATTGAATCAAAGGGTAAATATATTTCTGAAAGAAGGCCAGGTAGTGCATTTTGCATATGCCTTCTTTTGTGTGCCATATGCACATGATAGGGTTCTGCTTTCTTCTTTATAATACAAATATGGAGGAATAAAGTTTTGTGCTTTGCCTTCATTGTATCAATAGGATACATCACAGAAGTAGAAAGCGCAGATGCAAGACCTCCTGCCAAAGCAGATTTCAGAACACTTTCAGTAGGTATTTCCACTGGTGGGGGAACAGCAACAAGGGTGGCAGCCTCAAACCAGATGCTCCTGCAATTAATGTTCAAAATATGACTTATAACCAGCAAACCATAATACAAAATCAGTCTTTACTGGGGTAAATGACCAAATTGCGCTACAAGAGAACATGCACCAAATTTACCAGAAAAAACTTATCTCAAAATACAGTGGCTATTGTAAATTTTAATTTTGAAAGACTCAAACTATCCACAAAGACACTGACTTGAAAATGTCAACAATTTTTTCAACAGACCCAAATTGAACAGCTCAAACTCTTTAGGAAGACACAAGTAAAAGCTAAACAGATAGGTCAATTTTGAAGTAAAAGAGGAACAAAAAAGAATAAAAGCACTTTGATCAAAATCATCCCAATTACTACTGCTTAATAGTAGTTTCATCCAAATCATGAAAGAATTTAACACAAGTTAAGAAGACATCTCGGGGATTCCTAAAGCACACAAGTTTTTTTTTTTATTTTTCTCACCTCAAAATTCCAAAATCTGCTTCCTACAATTCATTTGACATAGTAAATTTTATTTGTATAAGGTTCCCATTCAAGTTCTAAGACACAAACCCTAGATGCGGGTCTTGTTCACTGTTGGACAACCATATCAAACGTTTCAAATAGCAGCCAAAAAGGTCAAGGTGGATCAAATCTAACACAAGAGGATCTCCAAACATTTGGCCAGTACTAACCCTAGGCTACCTGGATCATGTCAATCTCAATCATCGGCTTTTAGACATAGAGAAAAGGACCAAAATGGTTCCTCAACTCGTTGTGAGAGACCAAAATGATCCCAAACTCTTTTGAGGGGCCAATTTGGTCCCTCGACTCCTTAAAAATGGGTATTTTTTGTCCTAACATTAAATTTTGGGTTAATGGTATTAAATCAAGGAGTATTTTAATTATTTTTAAATTAAATTATTTATTAAATGTAAATTTAAAAAATATATATATTAAATTTTTCTTTAATAAAAAAATTATTATTAATTCTAGTTTTAATTTCAAATTATTAATAATTCTAGTTTTAATTTAGGATCATTATAGACTAAATTATTAATATTTTTTTATTAAAGAAATATTTAATAATTTTTTGAATACTATTACTTGAAAATTATATTTAATAAAAAATTTAATTAAAAAATGACCAAAATACCTCTTGGTTTAACACCATTAATCCCAAAATTTGATGTTAGGACCAAAAATGTCCCTTTTTAAGGACTCAAAAGAGTTGGGGACCATATTGATCCCTCACAAAAAATTGAGGGATCATTTTAGTCATTTTCTCTTTAGAGATATGTCCATCAAGTTTCTACACATTTTAATTATGGTTAATGCTAATCAGGACATTCTATTTTTGTAAATTAGATTGTGATATTTTTAGTATGTAGTGAGAACTCCGATCTATATAAATGATAACTTATGACTTTCAGAAGACAATTGGTGATTGAATGAAAATTTTGAATCCCTCTTACTCTCCCCTCACTCTTTCCTAGTGGATTCTACTTTTCTTCTTTTTCCACTGTTACGGGTCTCTCTCCTAATACTCAACTCTTTCCATGCCCTAATTTGCATTAAGTAGTATCCAAACTGAATAAATCCTCACTAATTTCGTTGATCTCCCATGTAAACATCCATTTTCACGTGCTTTCATGTTTGCTTGCCTATGCTTTAGCATTTTCGTTCCCTCATCTCAAACCCTTGTTGTCCATCTCCCTTATACTCGTAACTATTTCACTCCGTTGCACATTAAGCGAACTCTTTTTTGCATACACACTATCGGTGGCTTATTGTGGTATTAAAATAGATCTAATTTGTTCAAGATCAAACTCATGATTTCCACCATTCATCCACAATAATTTGATATTTCAATTTCTAACTCAAGTTTCAAGCTTATTAGATTTCTTGATGCGTCATTATGATAGTAACACAATCAATTTGATCAAGTGGATAGCTTATTGGTTAAGATATCTGAAAAATACAAATGCGCACATGTGGATTTTCAAGATTCTTAAAATTCATTTTGGAGTCACCGATATTATTATTTTGATATAGTTTATTCAGGGCAAAAGCATTTATGCAGGAAAAAATAATTTTAATATGATTTGCATCAGATTATGAGATGACTACAAAATTTAGCTTGAAAATTCTAAACGATAGATTAAAGAAATCATTCAATCATCAATATAAATCATATTATATCAGTTTAACCATCAATTTCACCTCCACAAGGTATAAAATTTGATTTTGTTATGAATTAATCTATGAAGATTAATATTGTGATGATCTACATAACATAGAAGAGCTTGATGATAATTATGGGAAAACATCAATAGTTGAGTCTCTTTCTGAACCTAAGGTTATGTATGAGTTTGACCATCATATTGTAGAATATAAACAATATTATGAGCCTGATGATCCTATGCCTAAAGATGAGGTTGAGGAGGCCAATCATTAAACAGGTAGCTATAGAAAAGATTCACGTTGGAACTGAGTCTAGGTAGTCTTCCACCACAGTAATTGCTCCTCAATCTTTACAGAAAAGGGAATGTAGGTTGTTTCCTAGCTCTCTATGCTACTACCCACTCCCTCACAAATTAACCATGAGCTTGCTGACGATAATGGATAAACATCAATAGCCGAGCCTCTTTATTAACATAAGGTTGTGTTTAAGCCTGAGCATGATAATTGTGGCTGAACCTAAACACGATCGTGATCATAAAGATCCAATGCATTAAGATGAGGTTGAGCATGACCAAAATATTAACCAAGAGACTACGCAAGAGATCAATATTGCACCTTAGTCTAATCAGTCTTTCACCACTGTACTAGCTCATCAACCTTTACATATGGTGATATAGGTCGTTCCTAAACTCCTATGTTGCTATCCACTCAATCACAAACAAACCTTAAATGCTTCCACCATCAAAGTGTCATATTGGTGCTCGTAAATAGTGGCATGACATGTGGAGATATTTTCCACAAATTATTGAGATTTGAGAATTCTACTTTATTCCTTAAATTATTGTCAAATTTCTAGCTTCTATAAATTAACCACATATTACTATCACCACCAAAGTTATATTATTAATAGACTCTTGCTCCGACTACTAATTTGACTCATGATTTACATCAACGTAATGAATAAAACCCCTAAATCCTTCACAAGAGCTTAGTTTTACAACATTCTTGTTGCGCAAGATAATCATGCTCCAATTCATCTCCACCACCACCATAGGCTCCACCTTCCAACTTCCTGGGAAAGGGCTTTTTTAGCTTTAGTGAAATGATACATGATCACATTGATCTAAAGATGCAAGATAATCTCAGTTGTTGGCTTTTAGCCATGTGTCTATTTCGTTAAGAATACCGTACCTTACCATATTAGTTTGAGATATTTTAGGAGTAAGAGCCCAAAATAGTTCCATGACTATTAGTAAATGTCCAATTTAGTCTCAAACTTTCATAATGCCCTAATTTAGTCTCCCAACTATTACAAAATGTCTCAATTTGATCCCAAGACCAAAAGTAACAACTAAAGTAACCTCAACAGTTAAATGTAAAGGCATTTTGGACATTAGTGTGTATGTGAGATTATATTATTATTTTTATAAATTTTACTATTTATCATATTAAAATAAATACAAAAATTATAATGAAACTTAATCACATTTATTAATTATTCACTACTGTCATTTAATTGGTTAACTTCTATTATGATTTTTTATTTATTTTAATATGATAAATAATATAAAAAAATAATATAATCTCACATATATCATAAAACTCAAAGTGCCCTAACATTTAACTATTGAGGTTAATTTTAATTGTTACTTTAGCATTGAGATCAAATTGGGATATTTTCTAATAGTAGGGGGACTAAATTGAGTCATTATAAAAGTCTGAGACTAAATTAAACATTTAATAATAGTCGGTAAACTATTTTGATCTTTTACTCGATATTTCAGCATGCATTGAGGATCATGTTCTACATAAAGAGTGTGAAACAAGCATATACTTGAAAGGTTAGAGTAGCTTTAGTGGCAAATAAGATTATAGAAAGTCGCCTTAGAGGTTTGGTCACATAAAGCGTCGGCCTTCTGATGACCCGATTAGAGAGTAGATGTTTTAGATTTGGCCTTTGTTAAGAGAGTTATAGTTAGGCCTGAAAAGACTTGGTTAGAAAATATTAGAAATAATCTTTTTTTTATTAGATTTAAATAATAATTTGACTCTTAACATGACACAATGGAGAAAAAGGATTCATGTAGCCGATCTCACATAATGGGATAAAGGCTTGATGTTGTTGTTGTTATATGATACAATTAACAAATAGAAAAGTCAGTGTCAAATGTAAGAAAGGAAACATTCGTCGAAGAAGGTAAAATGTGTGGTTGCTATGAGAAGAAGACAGTATGTGCAATCAGTAGTGCAAGGAAGACATGATGTGTGGTTGTGCGAGGAAGACAAGGTGGTCTACTATGCACGATGCTCCAGGCTAGCGAGATAAAGACCAAGAAGCTGGTATGCGCCTAACATTGTGTTAATATTGTGCATGCATTTCCAAGACTGTGATAACAAGACAAGGGAGTGCATACGTGGTCGAGACCGTGCAAATGAGAAAGTGCTCTAATCAAGTGAGACGATGCAGTGTGTGCATGCATGAACCTATTGATCAACGGGATAAGAGTTTAGTGATTTGACAATTAATTCAAAATTTTTTAAAATTTATAAAACTAAATTATCAAATTTAAATTAACATGCACTATGAGAGTTATGTGGCATGCGATATTGCTTTTGCATAGCACAAATTACGTGTGCTATTTTGAACCATTGTGCTGAGCAATAAAAATGGCAGAGAAGGTGCACCAACCACAATATGCGCCAAGTAGTGTAATTTTGCGATATTGACATGTATGTGCATGACATTTGATATGTTTAATTTTCTAATAGAAGGCTATAATAGATCTTTCTTTTGAAGTGGATTCTATCAACTTTAATTTATCATTAAAAGTGGTGCAAAGTTATTTTGGATTAATATATTGTCCTTAGAACTTTGTATGCTTATTATTGCATTATTTTCTACGTTGCATGTTAGATCTACATTTGAAGCTCTAAACTCTAAGCATCCTATATAAAACGGCCCTTCGCAACTTCCAAATTTATCTTCTATGCAATTTTTATCTACTAAATGCCTATGGAGGACTGAAACAATTTCACCATACAGATCTATATAATCTTACAATTCAATCAACTGTAAAACTCTTGATTCACATGTTCTCCTTTTGATTCATACGTATACTGTAAAAAGCTAAATATAGAAAAATTAAATTCCAAAACCTGGACTTCTAAAACTTGTCTGTTTTCCATAATGTGGATCGTGACCCTAGTCCATAAACTTTAGAGAAATGGCATACATCAACTATAAATTACGGCTGAAATTGTTACTTTTCACATGATATTTTCAATTTGAAAAAATAATATCACCAATGGAAAAGAAATGAATATAAAAATGTGAAAATTCATATCAACTCTCTATTTTCTCGAAAGTAACCCTCTACCCCTAAGCGAGCAACAGAATGGGATGACCACCAACAAACCCACTAGGCCACTACCAACTAAAGAGTTTAACAAAAGGACTGGTATGTTCTGCAATCCTGAATCATTCATTCCTTCTATAAGAAAAATGAGTGATGTCAAAAAGCACTAGAAAAAAATTTATGGATGCCCATGTCAAATTAGAGCTTCAGGGATTTGGCAAGGGTGTAGGGTGAACTTGTCAAACTAGAGTTCAAGGGTTTGTCTAGGTTTATTTTTTCATTAGCGTACCCTTCTCGTACACATGTTCATGTATTTCTTATTTTCAACCACACATATTTTATACAAACAAGTACTAATATAATGCCTCATTTTACCAAGCATAATGTCGCCAATAAGCTTTTCCATCAAAAATGAGGCATTCTCCCTGCTCAGTATTATGGATGGACTTGCCAAAAGATAAGGCCTAACGTCCACAATATCTATCCATATACAAAAATAAGTTCCCATCCAATGCATGGTGGTGGCTTTTACTAGACATAATGTTGCCAAAGCCCTACCAACAAAGACCAACTCCCTCTCCCTTCTGTTAGAGGAGCCTAAAAGATTAGAGCATTGCATCTAAAGCTGTACATGTGTATCTTGTGATTAATCAGATGTACAATACAACCATGATGACAACTCTAATTCTCTATAGATATATCATAACAAGTTTTCCACTCACCGGGGGTCTTCCTCAAGTCTTTCTGAAGGGAGTAACAGCATAAAATTGCGAAAATGACTGTAGGAAATAGACTCATCAGTATCTGCATTCAAATAACGCATCATAGCAACAGCATTAGCTTCATCGGCTGGGAGTCCAGCACTTTTAAGTGATGTCAATATTTGATTTTTCTCAAGTGTTCCAGACTTGCTCAAACACAATGTTGTATAAGCTCTAAGAATTGTTGGCTCCTTCTGCTCCATGAAGGTTAGAAACTGTTTCCACCCAATAGATTTTGAAAATAAGTTACTCCTAGTATGGCGCAAAAGATCCCGTGCATATCTCCTAGGCAATTTTCTTTTTCTCATTACAATTTCAAGGTCTTCTAGTGTAACTTGGCCATCACCATCCCTATCAAACTCCTCAAAAAGACGCTTTCCTATATCAAAATATGATTAAGATGAATTAACCACAATCCTTCAAAGAAAGACAGTAAACTGCCAAAGCATTCCCAAAAAAGCATTTAGAATACGATATAAAAAATTAAAAAGTGATGATAAGACAATCATGAATAGCTCATACTCCAAAAAATAAAAGAGTTAACTACCAAAAAAAAAAGCCTAAGGAAGAAATAAGCAAAGTAAAAAGATAATAGGTATATAACTTTCAACTGTGATATAGGATTAATGATAAAATTTCACAGAACAGAATAGAGATCATGGCAGAAAATGTATGTAAAGCTATATGAACCATAACGTGGCATTAGTAGTTTGTTCACATTTCTTAAATATCTCAAACATAATGCTAACCGTCTAAATAATCCTGGGATGGATTAAAATGAATGAAATTGGAATAGGAACAACTCAATTATGTCAAATGAAACTTTCATATGCGAATGGACAGTGGATAATTTGTAGCCAGATGGGAGAAGGTTGGAAGAATGACAACAAACCTCCTGAATGAAAGAAAATTAAGGCCTCCGAATTACCTATAATGTACAATGGAAGGGCCCATACCACCTATTAGCAAGTCTAAACTTAAGAAATCTTATCTATATTTTTTTACTTACAGAAGCATGAAACATGAAATAGGTACTAATGCTTCAACTACTTACAGCATAATCAATAAAGTCCAACCATATTAAAATTTGAAAAGGAACCCATTTTCTTTTATTTTTTAAACAAATCCATCACAATTCTAGAACCTACCTACTGTAATCCTATGAACATGTTCAAACATCTCCCTATCCATAGAGCACAAATGTTTAAATTAGAACTAATGCATGAAAATGTCACAATTTCTTTCTGACAGTAAATTAGCATGAGAAAAGGAAAAAAAAAAAGAAGACTACTTTTTCAAGGGACGTCAGTTTGTTTTGCAAAACCTAATTATCAATCCTTGAGTTTTGATTTATAGTTCTAAAACCATACTCATAAATATATCAATTTAAATGCTTAGAAGTTCATGCAATTTGACACGATTTTCATTCATTCAAAGTATAGATTCTAAAAAAGGTTAGAGACAATAACACCACGTGACATGCTTAAATCTCTGACACCCAGGCTGCTAAAATTTTTATGTCTGCAGAAATAGGACAGAGATGGTAATATTATGTAAGTTTAAGCATAATTAAAATGTGAGTGGATATCAATTGTAGGAGAAAATTTGCAGTAAAGATTTTAGGCGTGTAAAGCATTTCTCTAACAAAACTGGAGGAATACGAATAGACTGAAGACTACTTTTCACCACCCAATTTCCACTAGGTAAATCCATATCGAATGCATCATTAGCAATTTAGCAAACATGATGAAGCATATCAATTTCAACTTCATGCTCTCATGTGAAACTTAGCTGGATTATTTATTGATGGAAACACAAGAAGTATATTGCACCTTCAGCTTCTGTGTAACGAAAGAAGTCCTGCACTGAGAATAGTTTCTTCTTATTGGGATGCTCTGAAGATGTCTTCCCCACGTGAGGTATGAACTCAATGAGCTCTGTCAAAGAAACAGTTGACAGTGTAGAACGTAGGCGCTCAACATTGGACAAAGGAATGTTCAGCAAATTGCTGGCAAGTTTATGGGCAGGATTAGACTCCTGTTCCTCTTTACAAACAGATTCTTCCTTTCCATCATCAGCTGAATGATGCTTTCCCTCATCAGCAGCAGAAGCGGTAGTCCTCACCAAAATCTCCGATGCACCTCCCACCTTCGCGAACCCCGCATTTGAAAGAAAACCATTAACACTTGCCCGCCTCCCTTTGACAATGTCTGATATTGTCCTCATATGATCGATCATTGCAATAGCCGGTAAGGCAACTATATTCCTCGGCATCTCCCGATCAAAAATTTCAAGATTATGTATCAATGTCTCAAACGCATAGCAGATCAATAGTCTCGATTGAAAATCACAGTCCGCAGGGTGACATAACTCCTTCCTTTTAGCTTCAAAATGAAAAGGAAAAGAGAAGAGTTCGCCATCCACTTGGCTACATGAGGTACGGAAGCATTTCTTAACGCATTTAAACGAGTTCGGAAACACCTGCACGAAGTTGCTAACCAAGATAGACCAAGCCACGCCGAAGCTCAAGCAGTTCGAGCAAGATCCATCACTTTGTAACTTCGCCCTTGCCCCTCTATTCTTCGCCGAAGGATTCGGTAAAAGAGCTCCAATAATCGATTTCATTGGCATCTTACCCGAAAAGAACCCTTTCTTCCTCTCATCACCAAGGACCGCAGAGACCACCACCGTTTCCTGGAAATCCCTTTTCTTCCCCTGACCACTAAATCTACCAGGAAATCCACTCTCCTTTATCTTTTTCGTCGAATCCAGCCAATGGGACTCGAGATCCATGGCGGCGCGCGAAAGCCCACCCTCGAGAGGAGAGACGACGCTTCTCACCGCGCGGAGGAGGTAATCCACCGGGTCGGAACTGGAATCCATTGCTGGAAGTTAGATAATCTGAGATAAGACAATATAAAGGCGAAAACGAAGGAATCGCATAACGAAATCGCGGATCGAGCGATGGGCACCAAGTTTTTGAACTTGGAAGAAGGAAAGCGGCAGTGGAAATGGCGGTGGTTACTTCTAAGGCTAACGGAGCAGAAGCGCTTAAGAGTCGAGAGTGAACGAGCTACACGGCGATCGAACTCTTAAAGTTTACCAGATAAATAAGATGGACCCACAATAACATGCGGAAATTCTCCACGTGGGCTCTTTTCCGATGAGGGGTGTTAATTTTGGTATGAGTTTGGGTCTATGTAAGAGTTGAGTTGAGCATAAGGAGCGATTCAATAGGATGACGTGGCAATTTTTATTTAATAAAATTGACATGTCATTTTTCTTATATATTTAATAATTAATATCTAAATTTCTATATTTATTTATATATTTAATTAATTTAAATTATATGTGTGAAATTTTTCATTTTTTTAATAAATTACTATAAAGAATATTTTTTATTATTTTTTAAATATCAATGAATCTTAAAAAAAAAAAGCTTGATTGATAAATATTTGAATAAGAAAGTTTCAAAATTAAATTTAAGATAAAATAGCTCCAATTTTAATAAATTTATACTCAAATTAAACATCTCTATGAGATGAATGAGCCAAAAAATCAAGAACTTGAACCATAATTATAAACTTCAAGATATTAATTAGATAACCAAACAATCTTTAAATCTTTTATGATTATAATCAAATCAAGCATTTTGATGAAAAGAATCCAACATGCACGCCATTAATGTTGGGGAAGTAAAACCATGCAACGAATACAAACAAGAAAAAGTACATATGGATCTAACGTGGAAACCCCAAAATTATAAGAAAAAAATCACGGAGCCACACCACACTAAGAAATCTAGTATAAAATTTGAGAGAAAACAAATATTTTTCTCTCTCACTTTCTTATTGTCCCTCTACACTCTTCACTCATATGTTATACACCAACGGATAATGAGGAGCACATAAAACCACCTCAAGGGATGTACTCTTCAAGTTAAATATGAAAATTAGAAAGAAAACTACCCAGTTCGACTCATAATGTTGTGGTGCTGGAGTTTGAAGCGTCGCGATGCTCCACTCTATGTATTCAGCCTAACTGGCAACATCACATTGTTAGGGTTTGGAGCTCCATTGCGCTCTGCTCTCTATCTCCAACCAGCTGAGTGCTACAACGCTCAAGTATACAACATCGCGACGTTGTATAGTTGCACGGTAAAAACAACTTGCTCCAATAATGGGGAGGCCCCTCTGCGACCCGATGGCTAGCTCGATCGACAATATTAAGATTTAAGACAAGTATAACCTGATTGATTTATACAATCACAAAAACCTAACAATTAAAACACTTAATACTTAAGGTATTATTTATGATTAAGATAATTAATAATGGTCGTCTGATAAAGTGTTTTGGGTTTCCTTTATATTTATGGGGCATGACGACATACCACTCTCAAAATTATATAAGTAGGCTCCACTCTCAAAATAAGGGGGATCTAGTGCTTGGACTTTAGCTTGAAATTCAAGAGAGCATAGAGGTTATAAGAATCTTAGAGCTCCACTTAGGCACCACCAATGAACCAACATCATACTATTGTTGTTGGAAAATTATCAGGCCACCATAATTCAAACACATCTCGACCGTCGTCGTCAGACCATCGCTCAATTTGACAGTAGCCACTATCAAGATATCACCTTACAGCTACCATTGGAACATAATTTGACAGTAGCTGTAAAATTATCGCCCAACCTCCATTATTGGGCCGCCACTCGACTGCCATAATTGGAACATCATTTTATAATCATTGTTAGACTATCACCCGACCGTCATTATTGGGCCACCACTCAACTACACCACCAAAACACTACTCAACCACTCTTATTAGAACATTGCCCAACTGTTAGTGTCACCTAATAATGGTCTTATGACTAACATCGACAAATTATGATTCCTTGATCATTATTATCCAACTATTATCATCCAACTTCCTTCACTTGATTGAAATTCTCTGACTATCATTGCCTGATAATGGTCCTTCAAATACATCATCTGACTATGATATTTTGACCACAATTACCCAACTTCGGTCATTTGATCATCATCACTCAACCACAGTCTTCTAATCACTATCGCTCATCTACAGTCCTTTAACATCTATTACCCGTCTATGGTCCTTTGGTAATTATTATATGATTATTATCCTCTAACCTCCTTTGTTCGAATATGATCCTTCAATTACAATCATCCAACTATAGTCCGTCGAATACTATTGCAATAACCTGTTATTTTGAAAATAAATATAAAAATGAAAAAAAAAAAAAGAATTTATGTTTGAAATAGAGCATTGTGGAGCTATTCTTATGAACGCTATGGCATTGAGCTTGTAAACCTTTATGTGGAAGGAAGAATAAACAAGAGAGGAAAAAGAGGAGAGAGAAATATAAAATTTGAATTTTGGTCATTGATCTGCTTCACTGTTTTTACAAAAATTGTTCAGATTGTGGTATGTGACTTTTATAATTTTCCTAATTTTAAAGATTTTGACTATGATCGATTGATTCCTTCCAATTTAATTTTATAGCATTTTCTATGGTTTAGTGAATTTCTACCGCATAACTTTTTATATTCTGTAGCATTGATTATTCTAAACATTTTGACTAGTTGATTTTATAATTTCACCTGATTAAATAAAAGTTATTGTGTTTTACATAATTTGCACAAAATATTATTTTTTGTATTTTAATATAAGCATTTTGAATGAATATGAGTATGTAATTGGATAATAGTTGGTCGCTATTGCTTTTACAATATTATAGTAAAAATGTGTGAAAATAAGTGAAGGCTGCTTTTACTGATGTTAGCTGAAGAATAATTGACCTGTAGAGGATGGTGGGCTGACGAACTTTACTTTAAATACTGTGATTTAGTGTTATCATATTAATTCACGTGATTTATTGATTAGGAGTTAGAAGGAGTTAATTATTGTGCCGATTAATAAAGACTAAAGACATTGTTTACTGATCCAACGATTACTGAGTTACTAATTACTAACTACTGAAAAATACCACGCAAATAAGAACTACTTATTTATTTAGTGTGATTATTATAATGCATGTTATTGCATTGCTATAACTACACTTTTTATTGGGTTCCATACCATTTTAGTCTACTATTTTACATGCTAATTATTGTATATGTTTATTATTTATATATAGATTTATAATAATATTGATTACTAGTATTGTGAACTTACTAACGATATGCATAGTGCTTATTTGCCATGCTTTGAGTTCAGCTTTAAGATTTAGGGACTAGCTGGTTTTTTTTACTCATTATATATGATTTAAATGATTTTAGATCAGATGAGAGAATCGAGGGTGTGAGACAGATCATTTATTCAGGATTTATTGCTATTTGCTAATTTTTTTGTTTAGATATTTTTTTACAATCAGGAGTGAAAAGAGGAGTACTGTTGTATTTATATGACTCTTGAGTACTGTATATAATTTTTAAGTATAAAATCACATGTACATTGATGTTTTGATCAATAGATTCATTTCCGTTGATATTTATACTATTGATAAAAAAATTTAAATAGCTTTAGTTGTTGTTATTATAAAAGAAAAAAAAAATTCTTTCAAATTAGATTCTGATGTGTGAAAATTATCTACCTACTACAGTCCTATAATTGTTGTCGTCCCCAAGCTACGTTAATGCTCATTGACTTCATCACTTGCCATAGCTAATAATGTCAACTTATGTCAACACTTAAAAGATTGACGCACACGGCCAATAACACCAACTTTGACTATCAAAAACAACACTAGAATTTATGATGGATTTCTTGTTCTTTAATTTTCCCTTCTCAAAGGAGTGCGATCAAACAAATAAGCAAATGATCGCTTAAAAATAGCTCCCACGCTCTACGGCTCTTATAACTTCAACCATGCACATAATATGTTTTATATATTTTATATTTACCACATTAAATCAATCTCTTGCTCTAAAAGGGAATCAATACCAATGACAAATACTTCATTACCAATTACAAATACGAGATAAATCATTTCAATTGGGACAAGCCAAGTGATTATTTTTTCCATAAGTTTTACACGTAAAAGTACTCGTGTCTCTTAGAATTCTTATCCTTTCTTATTTATGTATTTATTGAATCTTTATACAAAAATAAGACACTAATATCTCTATATTATTGTGAATATTTTAATGTTAAATGTATGACCAAGGTTTTGAAAATCGGATCGGACAATGAACCGGAATGAGAGGTTAACAGTTCGATGGATTGACCGGGGTTGAATCGAATGACATAATAAATTTTTATTATATTTAAATATTATAATTATGACATAATTATTTGTAAATATATAACAAAAATTGAACATAATCATAATGAAACATAAAAAATATAACAAATAAATACTGGAAATTTAAAATTAAATATATTATTATTATGCCAAAAAAAATTCCAAAAGAAATTAGACTAAGAATGAAAGAACACAACATCATTTTCAATCTTCAATACCACAAGCTAATAAAAAAGCCTCTCAAAATCATCATTAAATGCAAGAATCAAATCACACATCGTGAATGCGAGGATAACAGAGTAGAGCGAGGGACGAGGAGAAAAGTGATGAACACATAGCAATGGGTTGGAGAGGAAGAGTTGATCATGGTTTTATTCGGTTTCTTCTTCCTTGTGGCTTTGCGAAACAGACAGCGAGTCAGGCAAACATGAAGAAGTGTAGAAAGGGTTTTTGTTTTCTTTTCATATAAGTATAAGCTTTATCTTAGTTAATTTTAGTCCATCTGATTTGGTTTGAACGTCTCAAATCATTTTTCAAATGAACCAACTAGTCATTCAAAATCGGGACCGGTTTAGTTGTTCGACAGTCAAACTGCTAGTTCGAACGGTTCGATAGTGGTTTTGTGTGAAATTGGTTTTATAGTAAGCTGTATCTTGCCGGCGAACCGGTTGAACCGGCTGGTCTGGTCCAATTTTTAAAGCCTCACCTCTCACGATAAATAACTATTATTTATGAAGGAATAAATATACTTTTTTATAGGGGTGCTATCCTTATCAATGTTTTAAAAATCAGATCGAACCAATTGGTTTAACCGTCAACCTGCTTACCTGCAGCCGGTCCGATTCATTCCCAAAATCGCTTTCGCAATAAACAAGTCATAATCGGCTAAAACTGCCAGTTCGACCGGTTAACCGATGCCAGTTTTCTAAAACCGGTTTGCTAATTTTATATGAAATAATCAATTTTAAAAATAAGCTAGTACATAATTAGATAAATTAATTTAATATAAAGAACTTAATAAATTAATTTAAAATTATTTAAAATTACGTATTAAATTTTTATTAAATAAGCACTAGCTGTGCTTTGCCATATGGTTCCATGTGACTACTTTACTCATGTGAAACCAAAAAATAATATAAACAACATAAACATATAGTGCTTAAGTTATATGAGACTTAAAAAACAAAGTTGAAATTTATATTATCTACAATATGTAATTTTTTTTCATTTGAGCACAAAATAGGGCTTGCTTATGTCTTCATTACTATGCATTTATAATTGATTTGTTTCACTTATTGTAGGACCTTCCCTCGATGAAGTTTCTGAATCTCAATAAAATTTGGAATTTTTACCTCTCACCATAAGTAACTATATTTTATTAATGGATAAATATACCTTATTTGATATAGGCGTAATCCTTATTATTTATATAAAGTTTCTACATGTTATAGGTTGTCAGTCTTACTTTCAGTACTTATTTATTAGTATGCATGCATAGTATAACTTCTTTGTTGTCCATAATGAATTAGCATATGATAAAGTCAACATTATCATAATTTGTTAGGTATGGCCTTGACTCTATGTAGCAAATATACATCATATAGATACTCTACATGGTGAGAATAAGAAGAATTTAGTAGTATGAGAGACGTTTTCGAGAGTATATATATATGTCATATTTTTTCAATCCAAAGTACAAAAAATAACTACAAAATAAAATAATAGTAAACATGTATAATCCTGATCAATCTCATACTCTTGATCTTCTACCTTGACATGAAATCATTAAAACGACATGTAATGAGCTAAAAAAACCTAACAAGTTATTAAATCCTACAAGTGAGCTCAAATCTAGGTAAAAAAGGAATATGCATATCATCGATCAATTTATAACAATAGAAATCAATATAAAAATAGTAAAACTTACATATAATAGCAATAAAGTTTGTAAATGATAAAATAGTATGGTACACATGCCAATAAAGCCTTATAGTATACAAATCAGTAAATTAAGTAGTATAGGTGTCATAAATAAAATAGTCTTAATAGAAGTACTATTTAATCATTAAGAAAATCACATACATTAGTAGAATCAAAACCTCGATGAAGACCATAAAAACCATAATCACAATATTAGTAAGTCCCATAATTAGTGACAATAGATCAATAACAAGTAATAGTATCAATGAATCAATATCAAAATGAGTGATTTAGTAACAGTAAAGCAGTGCATTAGCAATAATAATAAATTTGTACGGTGACAATAAATCAGTGCAATAACATTAAAGTCGTACTGTGATAATCAATCAGTAACATACATTTCAATAACACACTAAACAAGTAAAGAGTCCTTGCAGAATGGTGTTTTTATAATAATAAGTTAATTGTTAGTAATCCTTAGCTCTATAAACAAAGTCGTCACTCCTTACATCTTTTTATAGTAATAACTCCTTATAACTCTCAAATAATGAATCACATGAATTAGTAAAAGATAACACCAAACCACATTATTTAAAGAAAAGTCTATTGGTTCATCATCTTATACATGTCAACTAGTCTTCAATCAAAGTCAGTAAAATAAGCTTTTACTTGTCTCCACATATATTATCATAATATTTTATAATAGCAATAGTGACAAGCTATTACTCAATCGCATACTAGTATTCATTCCCAATGCATATTTTAACAATATGCATATAATAAACTATTATTTTATATTTTAAAAAAATTTCAACAAAATACAATATCTTTCATTCTATCCGATTAAATTTAGAAATATTACTATCAAAATGTTTAGAATATCCAATATAATAACATATAAAAAGTTACGCACCGAATGTTCAATAAAATATGAAAAAATGCAGTAAAATCAATTTTGATAAGAATTCAGTGATCAAAATCTTTATATATATATATATATATATGATTGAGTCACTTGTCTCAATTGGAACAATTTTCGTTAAGACGATAAAGCGGGTCGACGACCAAAATTGGATTGGATTTCTTCCATTCTCTCTCTTTTTTTCCCTTCCCTCCTCCCAGTGTCCTTGCTCGATAAGTAGTAATAGTTAGAGCAAAACAAGGATGTTGAGTGGAGAGAAATATATAAATGATTTTTAGTGGGCAACGCAACCACATACCGCCATAGCGCCACTGCATAGTGCCACAGAGTTGCATATCAAATCTAGAATCACTGAAAAACAAAGGCTTCAATAATTTTGTATATTTTTATGTTTTATGCATTTTAATTTGATAAAAAATTACAAAAATGGCTATGTCTAGATTTTTAGCAAGCTTTCAATCCAAAAATCATAGCTTCTAATTTAATCTGTGAAAATTTACAGGGTGATGGAGGTCAGAGTAATCGTAGTTGACAAGTGATAGAGGTTGGAGGGACCGTAGTTTACAATCGATGGTGGTTGGAGGGATTGTATTCGACATACTATGGTTATCAGAAGGTTGCAGAGGTCGGACAAAGGCTTGACGATGGCTACCATATGGAGTCCGATAATGATGGTCAGATAGAGGTCCAACATTGGTGGCTTGGTGGCGCAGGTTCGTCGATAGTGGTGTCAGGTTGGAGCTTCAGAATTCTTTAAGCCTCAGAGTTCTCTTGAGTCTCTAGCCAGGAGTCTAAGCCCCCCAAAAAGTCCAAGCCCCCTTTTCATGTGAGAAGAAAAAGTTTATTTATAGATTTTGAAAGTAACATGCTCTGTAAAAATGAAGAAGATTCATGCTAAATTTGGAGTGCTCCATCAGACGGTCCATACCAACTCTCTTGATCATGGCGTGTTTGTGCAACATTTAAGTACCTTAATGATATCAGAATTAATCAATTTTTGGCTCGTTGGATTTGTCTAGTCGAGTCGCTCGATTTGACTATAAGCATGCTATATTTGGATGTCATTTGGTCATCTAATTAATGCACTAAAGCTTTCAAATATGTTTTTGATCTCTTGATTTGAGCCCACTTGAACTCGGATTGAACCAATTTTGTCTCATTGAGACATGCAATTTGATCATAAGTTTGTTGGAATTGGAGTTTAAATGATCCTGTATTTAATTTTGTAAGTTATTAACTTGGTTATGCCTCAAAATTCGTGCTTAATTAAAGCTGATTTTTTGTGACACATCACTAATAATATATGATATTAAGAATTGCTAATAAAATGATATATTTTATTCTATAATGATTACAATAAATATATATATATATATATATATTAGTTGCAAATTGCAAGTCACTTTCGTTTCTCCGGCTTTACTTGTAACATATAATTCCCAAGAGGGTAAAGGTGAAGACTAATTCTCTCTCTCCACCGAAACCGATCGGCCCTCTGTTGTAGCCGCCGCCGTGCTTCCCCGTCTTTTCTTTTCCGAGCAACTCCTCGGATTTAAAGGGACGAAATCTCGAACAGACGGTTTCCGTGGAAAGGAGTCCGAGGCTTGATATCTGCTTGTTCACTTACCAAAGGTCCTGAGGTATGTCGCTGCGTTACTCTAATTTGCACGGTGAATCGATAGTGGGATCGTGAAAACTGGGAACCGCTTGATATCGATTTCATGTATTTTGTTATATTTATACTTTTTTCCTGTGTTTAATTGGTGCAAACTGTTATCCTAATAGCGTTTGTCAGATCGGTGGCCAGGATTGCATTTCCAGGTACTGGAATGTGAAGTTTAATGTATGAGGATTTTTGATATAAAGTCAAATGGTTTGACATGTTCCTCGTTGAAAGAAGTAATTAGTTGAATCCTTCTATGGTGAAAGTTTAAGACGTGGAACTGTATTGTCCAAGCCGGACAAAGAGGAAAACGACCAAGGGGAGGCGGGCACCTGGGCGATCTTGATCTTCGGTGCAAGAAGTTGGAGACAAAGGAAGAAGTAAACGAAGTAGAGGAAATTGAGCGACATATAGCTTCGATGAAGAATAAATCAACAAAGATAGAAGAGTGAGCTGCCTGGCTGACTTTGGCGTCAAAGAATAACTCATTTATTCACAGGAAAAATAAATTGCACAATCTGTCAACATAAATAAATTATAAAAAAGATCTGGATTCAAATATCACGATGTGGATAATTGCCCAGCCCCTTCCATGAATGAAGAAGAAGAAGAAGAAAATATCTCCTTATTTATGGACAATTTATCTTTTCAACAAAGAGGATTTTTTGAACAACTGGTTCAAATCCCTTTCTTTTATTTGTTTATAGTTTTTCCTTATTTTTTTATCCTTTAATTGTAATCAAATGCTGGGCTATAGGAGGACTCTATCTTCTATTTATAAATATAGCTTCAATGAACAAAAAAGGCTAGTGAACTTTAAATTTTTTTTTTCTAATAATAACATGGTATTAGAGCATCGATTTTTAATCCCTATCCCTCCATCGAGATGAAGGTTCAATATGCCCTCATTTGCATGTCTTGCTTCGGTGCCTCATCTTTATGCATTATCTTCAACATCGTGGTTGGGCTAATGCTATATTGTCTTTGCCTGACATATCTGTGGATTAGAACCCCTACAAACATAAAACCTCTCCATCATTTATAAGCTTCACACTCCCACTAGTCTCCTTCCAGCGCTTTCTTATTGCCAAAAAGTTGCAAATTGTCTACTTCTGTCTATACTTTGCCTTCATGCATCCAATTTTTGCGTTCGTGCGTCTACTTCTTGCACCCTCCTTTTGTGTCCATGCATCTCCTTCATGTTTTTTCCTTTTTCTCCTGCACATCTTCTAACATTTTTCTTACATGCCTTTGCATATTATTCGCCCAACTTGCTTTGACCTTGCAAGTCCCTCTCTGTGCTTGCCGAGTCTTCACGTGTTCTATGGCTGAATTATTGTGCACAAGTCTCATTTCCATGCTTGCTTCTTTGTGGCGCTTGTGAATCTTGCTTTTGAGTCTAGTTTTCCTTCCATACACTATTTGGTTTCGACCTATGATCCATTTTGGTGTGCCTACAACTATATGTAAAACTAGTTTTAGAACTTAGATGAAAAATGCATTTTTTTAAAAAATTATTGTGGATATTTTAGACTTTTTCCCTACTTACAAAGCTGGACAATAGCTTCCATACAAGGACGATACTTTATTAAATCTGATTGTAGAAAACTTATTACCATGAAATTTTTTGAAAAACAATATTCAAGTTATAGCCAAATAAAAGTGTGATATTTGTCTGGAAAGCAAAGCATTGAAAAAGCTGCCCAAACGGACCATTAGTCTAGTGAGCTACGACGATGAAAAAATACGATAATAATAATGAAAATAATAGTTCCACCATAGAAATTACGTGCAATCCTGAGCATTCATCACCAATAACTTAAGTGGAATCAAATGCTCCATCCTCCTAATCATTGGGTATAAACTCAACAAACAAAATTACACTTAATGGTCTCAATCTATTATGATGTTTGTATGTGGAATGGGGAAGGAAGATTACCTCATTGGAGCCGGTAAAGCTATTCCTCCACATACAGCTGATCCAAGATTTATGTTTGAAAATTAGAAAACAGCATGGTAATGTTATGGTTGATTGGTTCTATGACTAATGAAATTGGTGAAAAATTTATCTGCTATAAGACTGCTAAAGAGATATGGGATATAACGAAGGAAGCATACTTCGACAAAGACAATACATCATTGATTTTTTAGATCAAGAGAACACTCCATGTTTTAATGCAATGTGATTTATGTGTGATAGAATACTTTAATATTCTGAAAAGAAATGAGCAATAACTTTATATTCTTGAAAAACTAAAGTTAAAATTTCCTAAGGGCAACCTATAATGCAAAAAAGTTATTGAAAAATACTGGATTTTTAATTTTTACTCAACCTCAATAAAGATTTTGATAAAGTTTGATGAAGAATACTTAACAATACTCCATTGCCTAGCCTCTAAATGGAGAAGAAAGTAAGAAAAAGGTGATGTTTGGATCTCAAAATGAAGAAAGTAAGAAAAATGTGATATTTGGATCTCAAAACATCACCCCAATCGCTGAATGCCCTACCCTAATTGCCAGAGGATCCTAATTTAGTAAATGCAATTTACAAAGAGAAGAAAGACTATGGTTCGAGTATTATAAAAAATTTGGACAAACTATGGAGACTTGTTGAATAATTCATGGAAAATTTGCCGATTGGAAGCCATCAAACACTCTCGGCAAAGGCAATTATGGCAACATTGCAATCACTATGAAACTCAAACCTGCATCGAGCCAGGTCCATTTACAAGGACGAATTGGGACTCATAGAAAAAAGTTCTTAGCAATTTACAAGTTTAGCAATATTTGTTACCCAGTACAAGAAGGTATGATGTAAGCTCCTTAAATATTAAGTTCGAAATTTCAACTACATGAGTTGTGAAATTAAGTGCATCATATTACATGACTGGTGATGCTTATATATTGCATAAATATGGCTCATGGAATGACAATCTTATTGTCTGAATTCTGAATTGCTTATGGGTCACTCTCAAAAATGATTTATATAGGATAAGTCATTATTTCAAATAATCGAACCCTTAAATTTGTTCTTTTTGTTCTAAATTTAAATTGCAATTTGATGTTCATAAGCAAATTTATAAGAGATCTTAATTGTGTCATTATATTTTTTTTCCAAATTTTTGTGGATTCCAACACTTAGATTTGGGGAAGATGACAAAGCTAGCATGTGTGTCGATAACTTTTTTCTGAGAGTTGATAATCCTTAAAGAAAAGCACAAACAATAATTATTTGGCTCTCTTTTAGCAGTAATAAATATTATTCCGCCCTTGTTGTGACATTATTGGTTAGGCCATCCAAATTTCTTTTCTCTTGAAAAAATTATTTTCCTTATTATTCAATGACAAGCCAATATCTTTCCAGTAAGAGATTTATCAACCATCTAAGTATTTTTGCAATAACTATCTAAATTAACCTTACAAAATGACCTTTCCTTTTTGCTGATACAGCCATATTTAAGGACCTTCTAGAATCAATAGCATTACAAGATCTAAGTGGTTTGCCATCTTTATTGATAAACACACCAAATTTATATAAATATTTTTTGATGAAAGAAGAGCAGAAGTTGGGAAAAAATTTAGATTTACAACAAGATGTTTCTTCATAACCAACAATAGTAGAGAATACTACCCACGCAATTTTTGAATAAGGGATTGTGAATCGAAGTTTTTGTGCTAATAACATCTCAAAAAATGAAATTTTGGGAAGGAAAAAACGACACCTATTGGAATTTTCCAGATCCCTTATGCTATCTTCTCATATTCAGATGCATTTTTTGGGTGAAGTTGTTTTTATTGTAACATATCTCATCAACGAAATGCCGTCTCGTGTTGTGAACTTTAACACCCTCCATGTGAAACACTTCTTATTACATTTCTAAACATAAAAATAGTCTCCATTTCAATCCAGCTATTTTTTCTTACATACATTGAATCAACTTGACCTAAAGCCTCTCAAAGGAATATTTCTGATGAGGACATCAGAAGATCAACGGCTGCGATCTAGAGTTTATATTATTTTATTTATTTTTATGTCTTATGTACTAGTTATTAATGTTTTTCCCATTTTACCATTAGGAGTGATCAAGTGGTGTTGTAGCCCGAAGGGCATTTTAGTCTTTGTTATTTTTCTTTTCATGAGGCCTACTTATAGGCTAGCTTTATTGTATTGAGGATGAATTATTGATAATGAAAATTTTATGTTCTTGTTGATCTCTTAGTGAGTTCATGTTGATCTCTTAGTGAGTTCATGAGAGGAGAAGCCCGAGGAGGGTGATTTGCAATACCCGTCAATCTTGATGGATTCCAAGGTTCGCGGTTCTCTTATCTTTCGTTTCTTTTAATTTTTTCTTGCATCGAATCTCCTCCCCAAACTTCCCATCCGCCGGCCTCCTACTCCCCATCCCCTTCCCCTCCCTCACAAACCCGAGCCAACTTTCACTGGTCCGCCACCCCCTTAGTCGTCCCAAACCACCGGCCACAAGTCCGGCCACCGGCCAGCCCTCTGCTCTCCCCCTCCACTTGTTCCAACCGCCGGCCCACCCACTATAATCCTCCAAATTCGAGTTTTGAAATTCAAATTCTGTCATAAATACTTTCCTAAATTATCTCTATATGATTTAGGAGGGAATCCCTGTTGGCAATCAATTTATTTTGAATTTCAAAACTCCTTCCTAAGAGAGTTAAGTCCCATTAGGAAGTTTCTTATTATTTGAGTCAAATCTGAAATTAAATTCAGATTTGATTAAAAATACATTAACTTCCTTGGAGCCCACATACTAATCACAAAATCGCTCTCTCCTCTCTACATGGCCGGGCCCCTCTCCCCCATTAATTCTCCTTTATCCTTGCCTCAATCAATCAACATTTAAGCCCCCAATTAAGGAGGATTAAATGCCCTTCCCTATTACATTTAGATTTCAAATTTTAAATATCTTTCCCTCCAAAAGCTCCCCCATAATTGGGAATTCAGAATCCGGCTGACCATAAATCTGAATTTAATTTCAGATAATTTTAATCTCCCTTTTTTCCCTCCATCCAAACCTGAGCACCAAAGCCAAGTGACGTCTCCCCATACTTTAGCCGGCCCCTATTGCTTGCTGCCCTCTGTTTTTGGGCAGTTACTGCTTGGTAGCCTATGATCCCAGCAAGATTAACTTCCTGCCAAGCGATTCCCAAGACTGCCAGAGCTTGTCTACAACCTCCGTTAATGCATAGCTGCTGTCCGAGCTTACTAGGAGTCAGCTACACTGCTGCCGATCAGATTTATGCGCTCCCATGCATGCAAGCAAGCCCCTGAATTCATCCCATCACTGTCTAGACCTTCCATGGTTGCTGTTTAGAGCTTCGAACACCTGAAACCTGCTGTTCAGGCAACCTGGAACGTGTAATTGTGAATTGCAAGGTGGTTCCTTATCATTGATGTGAGCTCTCTTCCCACTCTTATATCGTCTAACTCTACTTCAATTGTGGAATTATTGAGTCATAAAGAATTGTGTTAACTTCCTTCGCTAGACCCTCATGATTAAGAGAGTGATTAAGAGGATGACTTCATGGTAACTAATCTCATTGTTAGTTTAGGGATTATCGTTGAAAATCAACCACGAACGCAATGTTAGATTAATTGATTGTTTTACTACTTTAACTCCTACACATATGATTTAGCCTAAGCTGGTTTTATCGCCTTATTGTTTTTATCGTAGCGTTTAAATCAGCATAAGTTTTATTTAACATTGTTCTTAAAATATTAAGCGTGCAAATTTCTTTAAACAACTCATCTTCACATGTACGTTTTACATCAATTTCCCATGTATTCTCCAAATAAAAAATGGTTACAAGTTCTATTTGCCATTAACAAGAAAGTTAAACAACTCTGTTGATGTGATAATTCTTTGAGAATTAGCCCTACTATCCCACACCTTCAATCTAGGGGGAGAATCCTATCACAAGATAACATGAACTTTTGAAAAATGGTAATATTGAGCAATCTCAAATAAGCACCTTTAACTCATACTCTAATACTGAACTGCCTCAATCCTAGACACAAAATTCTTAATCAATATAATACCTAACTATCATTGCAAATGTTTAAATTGATGTTCTATTTCTTAAATGTTTTATGTTGATATGAAGGAAATATGAGCACCATTCTAAAATGTTTTAATTGTCCGAAGCAATATTTTTTTATTAATTGATATTGTATGAAATGAAAAATGAATAGAAAGTAAACTATATATGTGTGTTTGTATGTGCATGCTGAATTACAAAGTTCATTTCTTTGTGTTATTAGCTAAGGATGTAATATACTTATGCACGGAAATGAAAATGACGAAGGTTTACTCGCCCTTCAGGGCTAAGTCTGGAAAATGTTATGAGAAGGTGTCTTTAATGGTGCACATTTAAACGGTGACTCTTATGATGAGCATATGATAAGATAAGATAAAACAAGATATGAAAATGATTAGAAAAGCTAACATTTTTTTGTTCTGCCATTATTATAATTACATTATTGTACTGTTCATGAAAAAGAAATGATATTGGTTTGTTTAAAAAGACTTGAATGCATGAAGTTTTCTAAATTCTAGAATTAGTATGATTTAGAAGTATAATTAGCAAGTTGTTTTACTTATCCTTTGGTAACTATTAACTATTTTCAGGAAAATCCCCTTTTAACTTAAGTGGATGAAAGGAAAGGATTCGTGTACAACTGAAGGATTACATCAAAAATTAGGTATTGTATTGAAGTTATTTTAATTTGTAAAAATATGTATTAAGTAGTTATAGAGAAAAGATATGTGGTGTACTAGACGAAATGTTCATAAATAAAACATTATGGTTTTGTTGGCTCTTTTCTATTTGGAAGATTTTTACTTTAAATTTATGTGAGAATTTTTAAATTTTCATCTGACTGTTTGTTTTCACCTTGGTACTTGAGTTCCCGGGGTGGTCATGAAAGCCTGTCATATTACGGTTTAAATTTTCTTATGCAAATATAATGTGTTGAAAAAAATAATTAAACCAACATCCAAAAAATCACTCGATGAATGCTATTTGAAAAACAAGTGTAGAAATTAATGTAGATGAAGGATCTTTGTTCTTCTATTTGACATCAACAATTATGATTTAGGATAATGGAAGTCACTCGCATAATTGAAATTTCATTAAAATAACATAAATTCAAATTATAGCAGATCTAAATAAACATATCTCACTTTCAACCAACAACAACAACATCAAGCCTTTACAAGACTACGTGGGGTCGGCTACATGAATCATTTTTTCTAATGTGTCATATTAAGAATCAAATTCTCATTTAAATCAATATAAAAATGCCATTTTTTATATTTTCTAAGTCTTTTTTGGTCTACCTCTATATTTCTAACATAAGGCAAACTAATACATCTACTCTTCTAGTCAGGTCATCGGAAGGTCAACGTTTTATCTGACCAAACCATCTTAAGATGACTCTCTTTAATCTTACTTTCAACCAAGAATGAAAAAAATGACGAATAAAGAGAAGAAGAAACTAAATAAAAGATGTCACCATAAAAACAAACCTCATGCTTATTCAAGGAGATTATCTCGAAATTCAAGTCTCACACTTGATCAACAATTAAAATCTTGAAAGAAAAAGTAGCTTGCACGTCCATATTTTTTTTTTTCGAGTCATAGGATTATATTTATTGTTAAATCCCAGCCCCCCATTCCAAAGATGATCCAACGGCTATGAACAATAATCCGTGGGAAGATCGCCTGTATCACATTAATTTACTTCCATAGCTAGGCAGCTGATTTAGGAATGAATATATTACAAATTATTCTGTAATTATTTAGAGATATTTGTTTCTTTATCAATGCACATTGTATAGATCTATAAATAGGGAGTATGTTGCATAATAAAATTCAAGTTTTTTCCCTCTTCAATCCTCTAAAACTAATATGGTATCTGAGACAACGACCTTCATTATCGTCAAAGAACGATCATAGATCGCCGAAGAAGAAAAGAGGAAGGAGAAGACCGACGCTACCAGGCCCAATTCCAGGAGATTGCCAGAAGTTGCCACCAGAAGCATGTAGCCTTGTCGACGACGACTCCAGATGCTGTCGAAGACAGAAGCGCCTACACCAACTCCAAACATTGTCGAAGATAGAGGCGGGAGCGACTCACACGTACGGAAGACCGGCCCTCCCATGCCCTAGCCGCGACTCCAATTGTGCCGAAGAAGTTCGCGACGTGCTGCTCGATCCGAGCCTTTAAAACTTGGTTTGGTTTGGTTTTTTTATTAAACCAAGAAGTGAAAAGAAAAAAAAACCCTCTAAAAAAAATTCCTCTGATCGACAAAGGGGCATACCAGAGACTTGTGGGGAAATTAATTGACCTTTTCCACACCAGACCGGATATAACATTCGTTGTAAGCATGGTCAATTAGTTTATACGGAATCCAAAATAGGCTAATATGCAATCAGTAGATAGGATACAACACTACCTTAAGGGAAACATAGGGAAAGGGATTCTCTTTAAAAGAAATCACATAATAACTGTAGAAGCATACGCTGATGCGGATTATGCAGGTTCACCAGTTGATAGAAGATCTACCTTTGGATACTGCACATTTCTTGGAGGTAACCTAGTTACATGGAGAAGCAAGAAACAGAATGTGGTGGTAAGATCTAGTGTAGAAGCAGAATATAGAGATCTAGTGTAGAAGCAGAATATAGAGCTATGGCCTTGGGAATATGTGAGTTACTATGGATCAAAGTAGTTTTTGAAAACTTAAGGATAAAGTGGTATTATCCCATGAAGCTACATTGTGACAACAAATCAACAATCAGCATAGCCCACAATCCAGTCCAGCATGACAGGACCAAACACATAGAAGTGGATATACATTTTATTAAAGAAAAAATTAGACAACATTCTAGTATGTATCAATTATGTATCGTCGAAAGATCAACTTGTAGACATCCTTACCAAATGATTGGATAACTTTGCCTTTATCAGAATGATTGCCAAGCTGGGAATGACAAATTTATGTTCCCCAGCTTGAGGGGGAGTTAAATCCCAGCCCCCTGTTCCAAAGATGATCCCATGGCTATGAACAATAATTCGTGGGAAGATTTCCTAGATCACATTAAATTCCTTCCATAGCTTGGCAGCTGATTTAGGAATGATTGTATTACTCATAATTTTGTAATTATTTAGAGTTTTTTATTTCTTTATCAATGCACCTTGTATAGATCTATAAATAGGGAGTATGTTGCATAATAAAATTCAATCTTTTTTCCTCTTGAATCCTCTAAAACTAACATGGCCTTTAAATAGGTCTTCACAAATTGAGACCACTAATAAAAATAAAATTCCCAGAGAGTGTTAAATCCCATCCCCCCATTCTAAAGGCCGATGATCGACAATAAAGATCATTTTCCCTAAAAAAAATTTCCTCTGATCGACAATCAAGGACTATAATATATAAAAAAACTTTTTTGATCTTTAGTTTCGACAATAAAGGCCGAAAAATAAAAATATATGCCTTTTTTTTTGTTTATCGGGAAGCCTTCATTGCTACCCAAGGACATAAGATAAGTCTTCATTCAACTCCATAATGTCAGAAATTAATTCTTCCAAGAGCATTGACCAAATTGAGGAGTCTATGGTGCACCAAGGACGAGGTGACCTCCAAAGCATGCAACATTCCTATCGTCTCAATGGGAACAACTACATAAAGTGGTCTCAAATTGCAAAGACCTATTTAAAGGGGAAAGGAAAAATACGCCACCTTCTTGGAGGACCAAGAGAAGGAGATTCTAATTTTTGGGCTTGGGATGAAGCAGACTCCATGATTATGTCATGGTTGTGGAATTCCATGACTCCAGAAATTAGCGATACATTCATGTTCCTTTTTACTAAAAATGACTTATAAGATACTGCCATACAGACCTCCAAAGTTCGGGATGCGGCTCAAATATTTGAAATTTAAGCCAAAGTAGGAAGCACAAAGCAAGGGAGCAAGACCGTGACAGAGTATGCCACCCTTCTACAAAATCTATGACAAGAACTTGATCACTACATATGCTTAGAAAATAGATGCCCGGAAGATGCTGCGATCCTAAAGAACTTTATTGAAAAAGATAGAGTTTATGATTTTGTTGTAGGATTAAATACAAAATTTGATCATGTTAGAGTACAGATTCTCAACAAAGAGGAGGCGCTATCACTTAATAAAAACAATTTCTCTCATCTGCGTGGAAGAAAGCAGACGAGAAGTGATGTTAGAACCAAATGTTGTTGAAAGTTCAACAATGGTTATGAATAGAGAATCATCATGGAAGGAGAAATGTAAATATTTCTCAAAATTCAAAGACAGAGACTCACTTTGGTGTAGTTATTGCAAGAAGTCAAGACACATAAAAGAAACATGCTGGAAAATACGTGAAAATTCCCCCAATAAGGAGTGGAATTAAAGAACTGAAACAAGGAGCACATCACATGCCAACAACAGTACAAGTCAGCCCAACCCAGAAGCACAGTCAAGCCTTTGAGAACTCAATAAAGAAGACATTAATAAAATGAAATGACTCATAGTATCAATAAACTGAAACGACTCATGGTATCTCTTGAAAAATCAAATGCATCTTCACTTGCACTCTCATGTAAGTTTTTGATTTTTATTAGTTTAAGTGCCTCTAGAAATTATTTCAAGGAATTATGAATCATTGACTCTGGAGCCACATATCACATGACCCACTCACCTACCCACTTCATCAACTATACTCCTTGCCCAATCAACAAGAAAATCATCATTGCTGATTGTTCTCTTACCACGGTAGCAGACCAAGGAGACATAACATTATCTCCCTCACTCACCCTAAAAAATGTGCTCCACGTATCTTAATTATCCTCAATCCTAATATCAATACAAAAACTTACCAATGACCATAATTGTCAAGCTTTATTTAACCCTACTTATTACTTATTTCAGGGCAGAGATCGAGAAAGAAGATTGTACTTGCTAAGGAGAAAGCTGGACTGTACTACCTGGAAGAACTAAACCAATCTAAAAATAGCTGCTCTATATTATCCCTAGTTGATAAAAATTCAACTATTTGACTTAATCATTATAGGTTAGGACACCAATCTTTTGATGTCCTACGACATGTATTTGCAACTTTTTCAAAAAATAGAAAATAAACATTTTTATTGTGAAACTTGTGAGTTAGCCAAACATAAAAGAACTTCATTCCCAAATAAAAATGAGAGATGTGATACTCCTCTACGACATGTATTTGCAATATCTCTAGGGCATGCTGGTTTGTATCGTTTATTGATGATTGCACTAGAGTCTCTTTAATACATCTCCTTAAAAATAAATCTGATGCTAGCATCATTCTTCCTATTTTTCATACCATGATAAAAAATCAATTCGGGATAAAAATAAGGAGATTTCGCTCCGATAATACTAAATACTATTTTAACCAAACACTTTCCTCTTACTTCAAAAGTAAAGGGATCATCCATGAGTCCTCTTGCATTCACACCCCACAACAAAATAGGGTTACATAGAGAAAAAATGGTCACCTTTTAGCATCCACTCGAGCTTTTCTATTCCACCACAATACACCCAAATCCTATTGGGGGGAAGCCCTCCTAATTGCAGTTTATCTCACAAATCGACTACCTTCAACAACCCTAAGACTTCAATGTAGATTTTGTCCTCATTTTACCCTAAGTTTCGAACCTATCATTACCTTACACCAAAAATCTTTGGGTGCACTGCTTATATTCATATTCACAACCAAAATAGAGGAAAACTAGATACATGAGCACTCAAATGCATCTTTGATGGCTATTCAGCTACCCAAAAATGTTACAAGTATTATCATCCACCTATAAGTAAAACCCTTGTCTCTGTTGACACTACCTTTGATGAACAAAATTCATTTCAAGCCTCATCTTCAGGGGGAGATTGAACTTGAGGAATATGAGAAAAATAAACTAGCATCTCTAGACCTTCCTCCACTACCTCAAACCAATCCAACTGAAAACCATGATAGGAAAACAAAAGATAAACTACCATTAGATTTGGGTAGGTATACTCCAGACGTACAAGTTCAGATTGTGCTATAAAGTAGATCCAAGAATCTGAACCATCTCCTGGAAATAAGGTAAGCTCACCACCTCCCTTATATCCTATTAGCAACTCTATATCCCTCAACAACTTCTCATCCGCACACAAATATTTCTTGGTTACACTAGAAGATATCCATATTCCTCAAGATATTTCGGAGGCCATATTTGATGAAAATGGGAAAAATGTCATGATAGATGAAATGCAGGCCCTAGAAAAGAACAATACATGGGAGATCATCAATCTTTCGAAAGGAAAAAAACCAATTGACTGCAAATGGGTGTTTTCTGTAAAATACAAAGCTGACGGTACACTGGAAATGTACAAAGCAAGACTAGTGGCAAAAAGATATACTCAAACTTATGACATTGACTAAGAAACCTTTGCACCTGTAGCCAAGATGAACACGATCGTGATCCCACTTTCAATAGCAGCTAAGTACAACTGGCTTCTGGAACAACTAGATGTAAAAAATGCATTCCTACATGGAGACTTGGAGGAAGAGATATTCATAAAAATACCATTAGGATTTAAGGAAGAATTTGGAGGTGACAAGGTATGCAGGTTGAGAAAAGCCTTATACGGGCTAAAACAATCACCAAGGGCCTAATTTGGAAGATTCTCAAATTTCATGCTTCTTTATGGGTATCGATATAGTCAAGGGGACCATACACTATTTTTTAAACACTCTGACTCAGGGGGATCCATAATACTATTAGTATATGTGGATGATATTATCCTAACCAGAAATAATGAAGAGGAGATAGATAGTCTAAGAAAATGTCTTACCAAGGAATTTGACATCAAAGAACTTGGTAGACTAAAATACTTTCTCGGAATTGAGGCAGCCCACTCTAGTAAATGAATCTTCATTTCCCAACAAAAATATATCAGAGTGTTTAAAAAATAGTGTATGGTCCCCTTGACTATATTGTATATGTGGATGATATTATCCTAACCAAAAATAATAAAGAGGAGATAGATAGTCTAAGAAAATGTCTTACCAAGGAATTTGACATCAAAGAACTTGGTAGACTAAAATACTTTCTCGGAATTGAAGCAGCCCACTTTAGTAAATGAATCTTCATTTCCCAACAAAAATATATCAAAGATCTTCTAAATGAAACATGTAAACTAGCTTATAAACCAACACCTACACCAGTAGAACCTAATCTTAAACTGAGGGAAGCTAGAGAATATCTAGATGTAGATAAAGGGGCCTACCAAAGACTTGTAGGGAAATCGATTTACCTTTCCCGCACCAGACTAAATATAGCATTCGGTGTAAGCATGGTGAGTAAGTTTATGCAGAACCCAAAGCAGGCTCATATGCAAGCGGTAGACAGGATACTACACTACCTTAAGGGAAACCCAGGGAAAGGGTTTCTCTTTAAAATAAATCATGGAATAACTCTAGAAGCATACACTGATGCGGATTATGCAGGATCACCAGTTGACAGAAGATCTACCTCTGGATACTGCACATTTCTTGGAGGTAACCTAGTTACATGGAGAAGCAATAAACATAATGTGGTGGCAAGATCTAGTGTAGAAGCAGAATATAGAGGTATGACCTTGAGAATATGTGAGTTATTATGGATCAAAATAATTTTAGAAGACTTAAGGATCAAGTGCGATGATCTCATGAAGCTATATTGTGATAACAAATCAACAATCAGCATAGCCCACAATCCAATCTAGCATGACAGGACCAAGCACATAGAAGTGGACAAATATTTTATTAAAGAAAAACTAGACAGCGGTCTAGTATGTATCAATTATGTATCGTCGAAAGATCAACTTGCAGACATCCTTACCAAAGGATTGGACAGCTCTGCCTTTATCAAAATGATTGTCAAGTTGGGAATGACAAATTTATATTCCCCAGCTTGAGGGGAAGTGTTAAATCCCAGCTCCCCGTTCCAAAGATGATCTCACAGCTATGACAGTAATCCATGGGAAGATCGCGTGAATCAAAATAAATTCCTTCCATAACTAGGCAGCTGATTTAGGAATGATTGTATTACTCATTATTATGTAATTATTTAGAGTTATTTGTTTCTTTTTCATTGCACCTTGAATAGATCTATAAATAGGGAGTATGTTGCATAATGAAATTCAAGCTTTTTCCCTCTTCAATCCTCTAATAACTATAGAAATAGCTCCATTGACTTGAGCCATGCATAATCACAGCCGGAAGCCACCTAAACCACTGAAAAGTCACCAACAGACTCTTCATTTATTGCTACAACCTCGATATGAAAGGAGTTGAAGGTTCCGCTATAGTTCTAATGCAAGGGGTCTCAGCCATCAGGCCACACTGCAGCACCACAATGCCAGCAGATGCACAAAGAAGCAGCAGGATTACCAGTAGGAGTATCAAAAAGAAGCTGCAAGAAATTACCCACGCCATTCTTGCTGCAGTCCCGGAATCTCTGCAGTCCCGGAATCTAGGGTTGGTCAGATTTCCTTTTACATTAGTTATTTATCTAAAATCCAAAGAATTTCACATCGTATCTAGTTGAAAGTAGATATGAGTTATGAAATTATTTCAATTGTTTTACTGCTATAGGTGGGTCCATTTTTTTGGAGTTTTCTTAGGCATATTGATGGTTGCCTCAAAAAAAAAAAAAAAAGAGCCATGCAATATCTAAATACCCCTTCATATGCTGTCAGGGACGAATGTCTCAAGTTTTATCCCAGTGACCCCTATTTTATTCCATCTTAAGGCACAATGCTGTTTCGTTGCTGTGCAAATGTCATATGCTTATACTACTTAAACCAAGTGGGCTTGCCGATGAAGGCTTGTTATAAAAAATAAAATTTATCCTCAACAACAAATATGATCTTTACGAATTTAGATTTTGCTAAATTGGTTACCAAGTTTTTAGAGTCTTCTTTTTAAATGGCAATCATTGCTCGTGATGATTGGATAATCTATATTTTCCAATTGTGAAACTTGGTCAAGTGATCCTTTTTAGGATAGCCTACTTCCACAGGATTTGTTTTGAGAAAAGCTTTATTATCTAGTTCCCAGTTCAAAAGGGAATGGTGTTCCAATAACTTTAGTAATCTCACTAGGTGTCTTCAGAAAATGATGTAAGCAGGGGGGGGTGAAAAGGGGGGGGGGGGGGGTTGTTCAAATCATCTTGATCCTCTTGTCCTTGGGCTGCTTGCTGTTCTTAGATTGAGGTTGTTTGCTACTCTCGGATTGGGCTTTGGCTACTTGGTGTTGAGCTTAAAAATTGGGTTCTACTTAGTTTCTAGCTCATAAATGCTTGAGCTAATGTTAGCTCATTAATTGGAAAAGGTATTCTTTTTGTAAGCTCATTAAAATGAATTATAATTTGTGTCTCTTCCCTTCCCCTTGTCTTCTAGGTTTTCTCCTGGCTTTTGCTATTCCCGTGACATCTCCTCTTGGTTTTCCTCTGGCTGTTGATGTTCCCGTGAAAGGAACCTGTTGGTTCCGCCCCCTTTGCCTTGGCCTCTATGGTTTCTGCTGGTTCCGCCCCCTTTTCCCTTGCCTCTTCGGTTCCTGCTGGTTCCACCCCTTGGTATCCTAGATAGAAATGAATTTGGCTGATATTTTGGATGACTTTTCAGCTGCTGTTTGTGGTGTCTTTTGGCCTTCTATTTCCCCTTATTTATTAGGTTTTAAATAAGATTTTAGGGGCTGTTTAGCTGCCACTTTTATCCTATATATGTGATGTTTTGACAAATAAAAAGGTTGTTGTGTGCAGATTTTTGGAAAGAAACTTGAGGGTTTTCTTGGATAGCTTGCGAGCTATGCCACTTCTTCCTCTCCTTCTTGGGAAAGCTTGCGAGCTTGTCCTCCTATCCTTCGTCTCGGACTTCTAACCTCCTCCTTCTTGCCGTAAGTGACCACCCCACCTGTATCCTTCTTCTCGACGAATGGAAAAGCTTCTTTAGGTGTTGTTTGTGTCGTTTGTAAGTCAAAGTTTGTATGCGTCGTTTGTAAGCGTCCTTTATGTTATAAAAAGTGTCTTTTTGGGTATTTGTGTGCAACTTCATCTCCTATTAAGGTCTTGCTTTTGCTTGAGCCCCCAAATTTTTGCTTGCATTAGAAAATGAACTTCACAATTTTAGTGTTCGATTGAGATATTCTATATTATTTCAACAAATTCATGGTGTTATGCTGTTTGTACGGCAAGTGTGATATAACCTTCACAAAGAATTATGAGAGAGCTATGTACTGCAATATTGCCATGCAGTTTTGTCCTTTAGGCCATGTGATCTTGAACTTCAAAGATCTGCTTCTTTAAGCTTCTTCTTTCTGAGCATAGTTGAGCACTTAGAATTGTTCCTATTTAATCAAATCAGATGTAGGCAATCATAAACAGCTGCAATTCAGATGCATTTCAGCTTGCTTAAATTCAAATCCTAAATGAGAATCATGCTATCTTTGTCATTCCTAGCATTAAAAATGCTTAGTTCCACATGTATTATTTTTATGGGTTGGTGCAGCTTTTCACTGTTTCTGTGAATCCTTAATACCTTTTAGCCTTGGTTCATTTGCTGCAATTATCTTTCCTTTTGAAGTGCTTTTGAGTGAACTCTATGGAAGACAGATTATGATTGGTTCTGTTCCAATTGAGCCCTTTCCTTCCCGTCTAGGATTTCTCCTTAACAATTGAAGTATTTTGAAATAGATTGGGAGAATGAACCATTGTGCCTCACTTCTTTGCTCCATCTCAAAGGCTGTGCTTCAAGCCAATCCTCACAATAATAAAAGCTCTTAATGAGCTGATCCGGCTTCTAGCTCGGCGCGTTAAGAAAACCACGTCGAAGGAACTCAGCCTTGATCAGGCAGGACAATTTAAACATGACTCAAGGCGAGGAAGTGGATCATACGAACTTGTTTGCAGAACAATTTCTGATTGTGCTGGTTCATGCTTTCTTAAATGATTGGGCTTGTCTGAAAGCTTATCTTTCATATGATGCAGATGATCTCATGTATTTATTAGAGTGGTGGCAGCATTTATTGACACTGGTATCTGTGTGTCAGTTATCATTTCCTGAAGCAGTGACATAAAGAGTCAACCCGCAGAGGTTGATAAAGTTGGTTTGCAGAAGTATAACTTGTGAGGTAAGGAATACCTTTCTGGCCTTTTCAGGGTTTAGAGACATGCAACATGCCCTCTAGAAACTACTCAAAGAAGAGCTGTGATCTGCATCTCAAGAATGGGAAGACATCTCTTCATTGTCTGGCATGCGATGAGTTGATGAAACTGCAGTTCACTTGACAAGTTAGCAATGTACACAACCTTTAGTGTTTAGACATCCCAGTGGTTTATGTTGCGCTATGACAATTTGGCTTTTATTGTACCATTTTAATATGTTTCTGGTCTGGATTCTTTGTTAGCTGCATCTACGGAAGTGAATTTCCTTGTTGCCAAAGATATTTGTTTTCAATTACAGGAGGGAGTTACGGATAATGTAAAAAGAGTTTATGAACACGCATCAATTTTTATTTCATTAATGGATTTCCATTAAAGCTACCGCGCCATTTGATTGAACAGGTGCTGTTATTTTCTCTTAATATTTTAAGTTGCAGAAAAGAGTTTATGGACATTTGATTAGGGTTTATGACGTTGTAACAAGTTTTAGTCCATTAATAGTACTATTAAAACTACTGTAAAATTTAAGTGAGCATGTGCAGTTACTGATGTGAATACTGCTTGTTACTCTGTGATTGTGATTTTAGTGGGCATTATGGAACTATTGCAATGATTTTAAATAGTTATGTTAAAAGTAATCTACTCTGTTTCTATTGCTTATGATTTTAAATTGTTCTCAATACTGGTTTGAAGGTTTTGATGTTTGCACAATATTTTGATTGATTTAACTAAGATTTACTTTCTTTACAACGAAAAAAAAATCATTGCTTTTCTTAGAAAACAAGGAGCTTAAAAAGAGCCTTGCATTGAAAATCAATTAGGATTGGAATAAACCCAATAGAGAGTCAATGGAAAGAGAATATGCAGTTCCGATGGATTAGAATAAGACTAATGCAAGAGTAAATGGAAAGCGAATGTATGATCGTAGGATTGGAACAAATCCAACTGGAGAGTTAATGGATGGCGGATTGAGAGCATATTCTATAGATTTTTATGATGATACATAGAATCAAACACGAGTTATTTAGTTTTGGGAGATTGATGTTTCTTACTAGCGCAAATCTCCATGATTAATTACATACAAGGTGTGATTATGAAGAGCACTCTCAAGTATAATTGTTTCGCCCGTGTTATTTGAGTTCAATAAAAGAGATAATATTCGTTCAACAAAAGAATCAAGATTGAGATCTTCTAATAGAGAGGATGGATCCTGAGTAATTAGAATGCCATCCAAGGAAGGGTCAATGAGTCCCTTAGGCTATGAAGCTGTGTAGGTTTAGCTTGATAGATATAGGAGGCTATATTGGTTTTGGATGACAAGATATGCGATTGCAATAGAAAGGCCAACGAACTTTGAGATCAAAATGTGAAAGCACACCTTCTTCTTAAAGAATGCTTGAAAGCTGTAGAAAGAGGGAAGCTTGACATAATGATATTTGAGAAGAAAATGGTTCTTACAACTTCACAATAATCAAAGGGGCTGCTGAGGGAGTAGTCTATAAGGACAAGAATAACAAAGAAGGAAGGGATTTATACCATGGAACATTATGTGACCTTTGATTGACAAGCGCATCATATCACAACTCAATGGGTTGTGCAGCTAAGTTTTATTGGGAATTGAATTCTTGAACATTGGATGAATTTAAATCATCAGAGAGGTCTGAAATGTTACAATTCGACATATTGTATGCATAGGTGGAAGTTATGTGTTGTGCGGGTGACTATCTCCTCAGGAAGGAATTGCTTGAAGTTGGGGCTAGCAATACCACGTTGGTTCTTGTCTTAGGGGCAGAAAGGGAATCACGGCTTATAATTCTTCAGCCATTAGAGGGAGAATACCCAAACTAGAATCACAATACTTTAGAAGGGTATATGACTTGATGGGTGACACAATATTGTGGGACTTTGAACGCTATCCTTGATCAATGACTTCGTAAGTTTCATGCAAGTATTGGAATATGTGTGACTAATCTTTCACCATTAGGAAGATGCTGATGTAATTATTTATAACCTAATTATATGAGATTGAAGCTTAATAATAGGTCTTACGTCATCTGGATAGGGAATGCCTATAATTTCTTGAGATTTAAAATCATGTTATTAAGTATCAACAAAATGGAAGATAGACTGATATGTATGAAGGAAATCGGTCTTTGTAATTTATAGGCGTGAAAGTCCAATACCCACATAATGTTCTTTATGCAAAGGGTAATTGCAATGTCATTCAAGCTTATATGCAGACACACCTCAGGCTTGCAGTATGGTTATGCATTGACAAAAAAATTGTTTAGTAGTTCAATGTAACCCTCAACTACCTACTCTTTCAAGTTATAGATTGGATAAATGCTCATTTTATAAAGTTGTATAAAAATGGTTGAAGAATTCAAAAGAGTTTTATACTTTTTTTAGCTTTAGTAGAAGATTTACCTCAAGAAAATAGTAAAAGCTAGCATGCATTGGGGTGAAAGAATTAAAGAATGAACATTGCAAAATCTCTTCTGCTTGGGCTTCTAACCTAGCACTTCAAATGTTATACTCACTGACCATTGTATCGCATCATATAAATTATTATATAAAAAGAAGGGTTATTTTATTAAGTCTTTGTTGACCTTATTTTCAACAGAGCAAGAAGAACCATTTCGAGATCATCCTTTAAGTCAAAACTGAACCCTACTAAAGTTAATTGAAGTCGATTTTACCACATGAACTAAACTTGATGACATCAACTCCGAATCAACTTGTTTCTAGCTCCATTTGTCCTCAACATCGTCGTCGTTCATTAATTAAAGTCGAATCGAGCCCAAATTAATTAAAATTAATTTAATTAATGGTCCAATAAATTCGATTGAGCTTCATCGAGTCGATTTGACTTGACTCGACTCAAGCTCAAAATCACAAAAAATTAATTTTATTAATAATTCAATACATTTAATCGAGCAAAAACGATCCGATTTGACTCAAATCGGATGTGCTTTGAAGCTCAACAACTTCTATCAACTCAATTTAATGCGAATCAACCCAATCTAAATTAAATTTGTGTCGATTAGCTCGAATACATTCAATTAAATTTACCTAAACTCAGAAATCTAATTTTGAATGTTTAATTCAACATCTTTTCCAAAATTTATCCCTTAAATGCTCTAATTTGCAGCCAATTAAATTTTAGCCCGATTTCAAAATCAAGAAGAGAGGATAAGATGGTAATTAGTTTTGAATAGAAGATTCTAGGGCTTAATAATGTCACGACCCGGCCCGGCTAGCCCGATAAAAATGGGGCGGGAACAGTCGGTCGTACGGAAGAGCATAATACATATAATACTTTTATTTTAAAACTTTAAAGGTCAGAACATAAATATCATCCCAAAATACATGAAAGAGCTACTAATAAAACATTAAACTCAATTGTTCCAAAATATTCTTCTCACACAACTGCTAAAACTTTTAAACCATCAATTACATAAACTCCAAATTACTGATCAAACACAAGCACAAACTCAAACTCACAAACTACACAGATATATAACAAAGACTCAAACTGAAATCATAAAAAGAACCTTTCTTCCTAAGGTCCCCTACGACGACACGTGTACGGTCGTCATGCAGCCATCACTTCTCTCCTGAAAAACATTTCAATCGTAGGATGTGCTTACTCGCTCAGCAGGTAATTCATAACTCAGTTCATTTCATAAGATGCATATAACAAAAAAAAAATTATAATTGAAATCATTTCATATCATTGGCAAATCATAACATTTAAATTTTTATTCTTACTTTCATTTTCCTTTCTTTAACATTTCATTTTTTTCATTCTTTCCTTTCACCATTTTCATATGCAATGTAAATGCAAAAAATGCTTATGTCAAATGGAACTTGGAATGGAATGACCTTTCTTTATTAGATTTAAACGAGAATTTGACTTTTAATAGGACACAATGGAGAAAAAGGATTCATGTAGCCGACTCCACGTAGTGGGATAAAGGCTTGATGTTGTTGTTGTTGTTGTTGTTGCTTAAGTCAAATGTATACACCCGTCCCGGAAGTACCCTTTTTCGAACTGATCAGGTACGTAGTCAAATTTTTGATCATTTCCTTTACCATTTGGCTCCGGAGAACCCCATTATCATTTGACTTTTGTAAGCCCATTTACCATTATCATTTTGGCACTTCCGGATCAACATGCACATGAAATTGTTATTTCATTTAAATCTTTCAATTATGCTCAATTGTCTTTCATATACTTCATTTATTCATATGCTCTAAATGCTTTAAAAAAATGCATAAAATAAAAACATGAAAAATTGCAGGGTATTCTTCAAATCATTTAATATAAAACATTTAACAGTAAAATAAATGCATAAAACCTCATTTAAGCATAAAAAGAAATTAAGCACTTATGAAGTTAAATGGGGTATGAATACCTACCTCTCTTAAGCACAGTATATCGCTTTGACAAAGTTCTTTCACCTTATACCTTAACGATCACAACTTAAGAATAAAATAAACGTGTCACATAATTAAATCTTCATTAAGGCTTAAGGCTAAATCTAAGTCCTAAGTCCTAAGCCTAAACCCATCATTTTTCCTTAACAACTCCCTACGATACTTAATAATTATTCAATTAAATAAACCTTAATTTTCGGATTTAATTAAATTCTAATTTTTGGAAAATCATAAATCTTCAATTTTGTCAATTTATTGCTCCAAACTTATTTTTAAACATATAATTATAATTATAATATAATTTTTGGATTAAAATAATTATGAAAATTATAAAAATAAAATTTTCATCAAAAATCCAAATTCATGCTTTAAAAACATTCCTAATATCCTCAGAAATAATTTTTTTTGTAAAAACGTCAAAATTTCTTTAAGGGATTGTTAAGGAATTTAAGTTTTCGTAAAAACCCTAACTTTTGATTTCTAAGATTTCCCCCCAAAATCATAAATTTTATCGCTAAAATGCTTTTCAAATCGTTACCTAACAATCCCTTAAAGAAAGATTCACTTCGAAATATTCATACCTGAAGACTCCTTTCGTCGTCCTCTTCGATTCGGATTAATTCTCTCGTCGGAAAATCGCCGCCGGAGAGAAGCCCGTCGCCCCTTGCTCGGCTCCTCCCGTCCGCCCCCTCTTATTC